CTCCCCAACCATATCTTCTGGTCTAGCCCCCAGAAATTGGCTAGGGTCCAAAAAATATTCATATCCTAGGGACTGAACCTTCCACACTATTTCTAGGGTACTCCTCCTAAGGCAGACATGAACAATCAACCACCAGGTTTAGGGATAGACCTGACCAGATCTGGGAAAAAAAATTTCATCTCAGCTGTGTACAGCAGAACCAAAACCTAAATTTAGCCAGCCCAGGGCAGAGGCCCTACATGTTTCTCAGCTTCAGTTCCTATCTCTGCATCAGCCTTTGAATCTGTCATACATACAGTAGGTGTGACTAGGTTATATGCCATCTGAGAGGATCATTTTTGCTACCCTCCCCTCAATCATTCAAAAGCCAGTACCATCTCCAGTGGTGGTTTCCATGTAATTTTGCCACCTACCCTTTTGGTTGGTAGGATACTAGCACAGCAACCAACAATGTTGTGGCCCGGCTGCCAGCACCCTATCAAGCAATGAGGCTGTGCGTCATTGGTTGCTAGAGCACATGCAGCTGGGACCTACAGCGTTAATGTTCTGGTGGCCTCCTACTCCATAACAACCAATGATGCTTTGTGGCCCAGCTATCTGCATCCTAGCAAACAGTTCAGGAACACTGCCCTATGTATACACTGGGGACAGATGCACTGGGGACAGATGGTCCGGTATGGACATTTCTGCCTCTGTGCTGCTATCCACTGAGGGTGTTGCATCATCGGTGGTATGCTTGTGGATTACACATGAGGGTACCTTTCACTGTGCACGTGCTTATCAATGCCCGGGACTGCGGTCATGTGAAAACCAAATATTAAGGTAGATCCCCAATTTATAGATGAGCCATGTCACTGTGTGCAGTAATAAAAAGTCAAAATTCCTCTGAAAAATGCTGTCCTGTGTCACTACACACTGTTGCCTGATGCATGTTGCATTTAGGGGGGACACTGCTGAGCCCGTGCCCTCTCTACCAGTCCAGCGTACCTCTGCCACCTCACTCCCAGTAACAGAATGGGGTACCACGGTGCATATAGCGTGGACCACTTGCTAACTCCTTTCCTACCGTACCCTGCAGCCAGGCTACGGGTCTTCGTAACGCAGGTTCGGTCCCAGCTTCTCAAAGAAACCAACTGCTGGGGAGGGAGCCAGATCACCAACCGCCTCGCTAACAAAAGACTCCTCACCATGCCAGGTACCATGCTCATTGACCAGCTGCAATGTACCTTGCACTAGTCCTACGTTACCCATAGCAACTGCATTACTCCTCCTGCTTGAGTTTTCGAGTAGACCTCTTGTAGTAGTTCTACTTCATTCCCCACATGTGCTTTACAGACCCTAGTCCCTTCATATACTAAGTACCATCATGCACCCATTTAAAGGTCTTCAGACCAGGCTTAGAACAGTTGATACAACTTTTACTGAAACATTTTGGCAATGCTGTCTACGGTGAACAATTTCAATAGAACATCCCCTAGCTATCTCCATTAGGCTGCACATGCATATTCTCCACAAGGTAGTAGCCCATTTTTTGTGTTCTCCAGGAATGGGTAGATTCCTGGACTCCCGATGCCTTTGACGAACTTCATGTTGCAACAGTTCTCCTATGCAGCAATCGTGTCATCCTCTTGATTGGGCCAAAGTTCTCGGGATCTGGCCTTCCCTCATATTTATGTCACAGACTAGGTCCAAAAAGCCTAAGAACAGCAGCACACAACATTAACCCCTTCCCCAGCCTGGGCCAGCCAACTGTCTAGCTAACATATTGTGGGCAACCTGCCTACACGCCCCCATATACTTATCTTGAGTTCTTGTAAGGAAATAGACTGTTGTTTAAATAAAAGAAACTCATTTTTTTTATTATTACATTTTTGTATAGAGGGTGGCTCCTCAAACAGGGCAAGGGGCCACCAGGGCATTTTTTTACCCTTATAATTCTGTCGCTGGGTGTTTGTTAGAGAGTGGGAACAAAACCTTACTTATCTTACAGTTACAGAAAAGCAATTCATAAGACATAATAATAACTGACTGCTGTGAGCATCCCAGCAGTGTTAACCCATTTGCACACCCACTAACGTATATGTTGCAGGTTTGAAGTGGCTTACCGGGGCTATGGCTGCCTCTGTCAGTTTTCAGCTAAGTTCTTTTCCCTAAAAGCAATCCGAGAGGCTGAATAGCAGCTGAATCGCTTTGAGAAGCAGCGGAAGGGGTTGTTCCCCCCTCCCTCCGCTCACTGGTGTTTCTCGGGCTTACCTGTTTCACGGGGAAGCCTGGGATCTGATCTGGCCAAAGGGGTGAGAAGAGACCAGACCGTCTCTGATCACCTCTATGAACTAGGAGGTTGGAAGCAATGCCATGATGTCACTTCTGTTTTTGGGCAGATGTAAACAGATTGCTCCAGTGACAACATCCGATCGGACGAAACACATTGGGCGGAGGTGTTGTCATCACGCCTGCCGGGACTCTCAATGCTGTTTGTATTATATGCCTAAACAATTCTTCAAGTTGTAAGTAGATGTATTGTTTTTAATAAACTGAATTTTACTGCTACATGATGAGCGATACCCTTCCTTTTGCATGTGTTTATCTGGATTCAACTTTACTGGGAGATGGATTACTCATCCTTTGGTGCAAGTTGGTGTTTTGAGGATTGCTAGATGGTAATGCCTGTAGCCATTTTGGTGGGCTGATAGTTCTGAAAGTTCTGAAGCTGAGTGGTGACCCATCCATCCAGTGAGGGGGTCTCTCCCCTAAACGCAATTAGACCTTCTGTTGCGAGGTCTAAATTTTTGGTAAGAGGCTTTAATGTTCTTCTTGGTGGAGTGCACAGTGGTGAAGAGTGGAGGCACAGGATACTCATAATCTTTTTAAGGCACACAAGTAGAGCACCTTGATTTTTTATGCACCTTATTGTGATTGTTTATTCACTTTTCATGAACTTTCATGTCTTTTGGGACTTTTTATCTATTTATTTATCTAAATAATTATTCGCATAATAATTAATTAATTGTCTTTTTATATATTTTGGGGGGGTTTATTTATTGATATCAATGTAATCTATTCACCATTCATTTATTGTTGTTCATAATCTAGTAATTTATCACATCAATGTATGCACATTGGTTTTATTGAATATTTTGACAGCACAACACATATATATTCTTGTTGGATGTAAACACTGCCTTTTTTGGGGGGAAAGAATCAGATCAATGTTTTATTTATTTATTTTGATACTTTTAAGGGTAGAGGAGAGATTTGGGGTCTTAAAGACTCCAAATTTCTCCATAAAGAGGACCTGTCATGCTTTATTCTTTTCACAAGGGATATTTACATTTCTTGTGATAGTAAAAAAAAATGAAAGAGACAGTGTAAAAATAACAAAAATTTAATAAACGTTTAAAGCGCTGCTGCCCCCCCCCCGCACAGTGGCGAACGCATTTGTAGGTCGTTCCTGCATATGTCCGCATGACACATGGGAGGTATTGCCACGAACGTTATATAGTGAGAGCAGTAATTCTAGCGCTAGTCCTCCTCTGTAACTCTAGACTGGTAATTTGTAAAAATGTTTTAAAGTGTTGCCTATGGAGATTTTTAAGTACCGTAGTTTGGCGCCATTCCACGAGCATACACAAAGCATGACACGTTAGGTATCTATTTACTCATTCACTCCCTTATTATTTCACGACTTGGCTACTGTAACTCCCTGCTCACCGGCTTACCCCACCGCAGGCTATCCCCGCGTCAGTCTATCCTGAACTCTGCGGCCAGACTCATCCACCTTACTAACCGCTCCGTATCAGCCCCCCCCTCTGCCAATCCCTCCACTGGCTTCTGATTGCCCAACGCATAAAATTCAAACTGCTAACATTGACATATAAAGCTGTCCATGATACTGCCTCAAACTACATCACCGATCTGATATCCAAATACCACCCAAAACGTACTCTCTGCTCCTCACAAGACCTCCTACTCTCTAGTTCCCTGGTCTCCTCCTCACATGCCCATCTCCAGGACTTCTCCAGGGCTTCCCCCATCCTCTGGAGCTCACTACCCCAATCCATCAGACTGTCACCTACCCTCCTCACCTTTAGGCGCACCCTGAAAACCCATCTCTTCAGGGAAGCCTACCCCACCCTCACCTAATTGCCAATCTCCTCCACTCTTCCTACCACTCCATCCCCCACAGCTATGTCCTCCTGTACCACTATCCCCTCCCTCCTAGATTGTAAGCTCCAAGGAGCAGGGCCCTCGAACCCCTCATGTATTATTGTATTGTATTGTATTGTTACTGTACTGTCTCGTGTACTGTCTCCCATTATAATGAGAAAACTGTTGGCGCTATAAAAATACTGTAAAATAATAATAATATTTACTCAGCATAACATCATCTTTTATTTTTTGCTAGAAAATTAGGTTATATATTGTGTATTCTTGTATTAAAGTGTACTTTAAAAGAAAAAGGGAATTTTAAGAACTATGGCACAAATACTGTGTGACATAAAAAAATTGCCACCAATTTATTCTCTAGGGCCTCTGCTAAAAAAAATATAATGTTTTGAAGGGTTTGAAATAATTTTCTAGCAAAAAAAAAAAAAGTGTCAGAAAAGGCCTGGTCTTTAAGTGGTTACAGCTTGTCCCAGCCCGTCACTGGTCAGTATGGCCTGTATGTACAGTGTATGTGGAGAAACATTATACCTAAACGCATGTGAAATTATAAAAAAAAAAGCAAAGACCAAAATAACAACTTAGCTTGCAACAAAATAAATAATTTATTTATTACTGATGCTTTGTGTGTCTTGCGTTCCAACTCTGTCTCTGGTTAGGGCGCCATTTTTGTGGCGCCAGCTCACTAGCTTTGCTTGGGTCTGAGCTTCTAGAAAATGGCCGCCGTATGTCGATTATGCAGACATACTTATCCAGTGCTAGGTTAGTTTTCTGCTGAAGCAGGCCGGGGGCTGGTGGCACTGACATGTAGCTAGTTGTGTGCTGCTGACTTCCTGCACATGGTGAGCAGAGCTCGGGGGAAGCCGGGTACATATAGCCAGGAGAAGTGAGTATTGTGGGGGGATGGGGCATCCTGTACTGGGTGTAAAGGACATGGGGGCTTCTTGTAATGCTGCTGCTGGGTGCATAGGTGGAGTTTCCTCATGTTTGGCTCTTGCAGTTAGAAATTGTATGTACTGTGTGTGACTGATGATGTGATGAGTGTTCACTTACCCTCGGTTCACACCTAAGCATTTTCCAGAATCGCACTGCAGTCCATTTATCATGATTTCCTATGGGACACGTTCACATCTCCGCGTTTTTCACCCGCTGCGCTTTTTGGAAAGGATCAGGGACTTTTTTGAACACAAAAAGTCACATTTTTGGTTCTATAGACTTCAATGGAAACGCTGCAGAAAAGCATGTAGTGCGTTTTAAATCTGCCTAGCAACAAGAGAAAAAAAACGGAAACGCATCAGAAACAGGTCAAACACAACCTGCATAGGTGTGAACCTAACTTTATTTCAGGTACTTATATATAGCGCTGTCAATTTACGCAGCGCTTTACATATATATTGTACATTCACATCAGTCCCTAACCCTCAAGGGGCGTACAATCTAAGGTCCCTAACTCACATTCGTACATACTAGGGACAATTTAGACAGGATCCAATTAACCTACCAGCATGTCTTTGGAGTGTGGGAGGAAACCGGAGTACCCGGAGGAAACCCACGCAGGCAAAGGGAGAACATGCAAACTCAGGCAGGAGGTGCCATGGCTGGGATTCGAACCAACGACCCTATTACTGCCAGGCGGAAGTGCTAACCATTTAGCCTCTGTGCTGCCCTGATGCAATCAGGTGCGTTTTTAAATGCAGTGCGAATGAATATGCAAAAAACAATGAATGTGTTCCAATGAGCCTAGTTGCAGTGCTTTTGTGTGTGTGTGTTTAAAAAAAAAAAGTACGGCATGCTGCGTTTTTATTTTCTGCACAGAAATGCCACGAATGCACATATATGTGCACAAATGCACCGTAAAAGCGAATGAAAACGTGTAGAGGCAACTTAGGCCTCATTCACACCACATCTGTTAATCATCTGTTAATGCATGTGTTTTTTTTTTGTAATGCGTTGGCGTGCATTATACACACGTTGCTTTTGGTTTTTTACCTCGTTTTGCCTTTAATTGTCTTGCAGTGTATTGTGTTATCTGCGCTTGAACGTGGAGCGTTGCGCTGAGAAAAAAAGTAGTGCATGACGTACTGTTTTTCAGCGCTGGGCAAATGCAACACCGTGCGCTGTTGTGAACTGCTTTCATTGGGAAACATTATTTTTTTGGTTGCCATGCTTTGGGAATGAGCTCACAAATGCACTTCAGCACATCTGGTATGAATGAACTCTTAGGCCCCTTTCATACGGGCATTCTATATTTCTATTTTTCATCTGTCCGTTTACGGATCAAAAACAGACACCCATGCATTTCTATGGACTACCAGATGTAAATGGATGATCTGTTTACATCTGTAAATGTCCGCATCCGTTAACATGTTTTTTGATCAGAAGAAAACTCTATTTTTGTTCCGTAAAAAAACGGATGTAAACGATTGTAAATGGATGGAAACCAGATGTAAACTGATGAAAAACGGATGTGAACTAATGAAAAACAGATATAAATTGACATAAAACTGATGAAAAACAGATATAAACTGATGTAAACTGGTTAAAAACTGATGTGAACTGATGAAACACAGATATAAACTGTTGAAAAACTGATATAAACTGATGTGGACTGATGGAGAGCTGATGTAAACTGATGGAGAGCTGATATAAACTGATGAACAACTGATATAAGCTGTTGAAAAACTGTTAAAAACTGGCGTGAACTGATGAAAAACTGATATAAACTGATGTAAACTGTTGAAAAACTAATATAAACTGACAAAAACTGATAAAAAAACTAATATAAACTGATGAAAAACTGATGAAAAACTGATGTAAAACTGATGTAAAATGAAAAACTGATGTGAACTGACGTAAACGGATGAAAAACTGATGTGAACGGTTGAAAAACTGATATAAACTGCTGTAAACGGATGAAAAACTGATGTGAACTGATCCATTTTTTTCTTGGAAAAAACGTGACTGAACTGATGAAAAAACCGGAATGCCCGTGTGAAAGGGGCCTTAGTGAAGGAAATAATTTGAAATACATGGACCCTTTGGAAGCAGAGTATGACTGTAGTGGCTGCTGCTACTGCATTGGTCCTCATTGTCTTCTACATCCTGTGCCTGCTCCTCAGCACACTGACCATAGGAGGTCACCCACTTGGCACTCACTATGGGAACAGGTACCTAAGAAGGGTTGGTTGTACTACAGTGGCTTGTCAATGTATGTTTTCTTTCTTTTTCACATAGAAACTTCAAGATGGTCTTAAAGAAGAGAAAAGAGATGAAAGTTGATGTCCTGACGCTCAGTGGACCCAGCATAGATAAACTTAAGAGTAAGTTAATCACTAGGGATCAGGGTGGATAAAAATCAATGATTTTTTAAAATAAAAACAAAAAAATCAGATTTTTTTTTTTTTTTTAAAATCGGATTTTTTTGAATAAAATGCTTTTTGAGGAAAATATATTACCATCCAAAGGTTATTCCATTATGAAATAAAGATTAGTTTTTTAAATATGTAGAATAAGGCTGTATATGTTTAATTTGTTTGGTAAATTCCATGAATCCATTCACAATGTCATGCTCTTCCAGAGGTTTTTGTAAGATTATTGGGCAGTTTCTCTGCCTACAAGATATTATCACAGATGATTGGTTTACTTTTGCAGTTCTCAAAACTGAATTTGACTCAGCGGAGATCACATGCCTCTTCTTCACAGCAAAAAATGTTATAACATGAACAGAGTTAAGAAAAAGACCTTCATCCTAACTTCTACAAACCTATGAATACAGAATCAACCCCTTCAGTGCTAAGTTTCAAGAAGTTCAGTGAATAGAATAGAAACAATATTTTTCTGATTGTTTGGAGTGGAATAGATCTGTACAAGAAGAAAGTGAAACTAAGTGTGAGGAGGAAGGGGCTGACAGTCTAAGTTTTCTTAAAATATATATATTTTGTTTAGCCAAATTAGTTAACAAACATGGATGTTTGTTTAAGCAAATCACATATGCTGGAATGTTATTGTTTCAGATGAATAAATCTATTTAAATTGTTATTATTAAGGTAATGATTATTTTTCTCCTTCCTAAATACAACAGAAAAGTTGTCAAAATATGAATGATTAACCTATTAAACTGGGGATAAAAAACTAATATGAAAAGTTGTTATTCTAAAAATCTTCATCTACTTGCATATTAAAGTTATACCAGCAAGAATTAGTCTTTATGTAGAAAACTAGAATTTAAATCAAGCCTTACTGACTAGTGATTTAAATCGTGATTTAAATCAGTTTGATTTAAATCAAATCCACCCTGCTGGGGATGCAGCGATACCAGTTTTTTGTTCCTGTGTGAACCCAGACTTGTCATAGTGACCTTCAGCCAGGGTTCACACAGGAGTGGTACGGGAAACTACATATGATTTGGCCAGGAATCACACCGCATTCCTGTTCAAAGTGCATGCGATTCTTTGCAGTGTGATTTGAGCACATTCGTTTTGTATGGGCACAAATTGCGCCTCACCGCACGAAAAAAGTATTGGTTTTAGGTATCAGAGCATTTGCACAAGTGCAAAGGATCGGCACCGATACCGATATCACCACAGCTTTTGTAGGAATAGTTGTGTTTTGAAGGGATAGTCCATCCAGATATGAGAGTCCATCTGTGTGATAACTTTGACACATTGAATGGCTTGTTGACTTTTTAGGTACCTTGAGTACTTTAGTGATCTCTGAACCTGACCTAAAAATTTTTTTTTCGGGTAGATCGATCCTTTAAATAGAATAAACGTATAATTTAAATACATCTATTGTTAGAATTTACCTAAAAGAGAAGTATGGGAATCACAAAAAAAAATTTTTTTACTCACCTAGAAGGCTGCAGCACCAATCCCATCCCAGCTGCAGTTGTCCCCTGCTGCCTCTAAGACCAAGAACTGAGCTATCAAACACTGCTGATCATCGCTCAGCTGTCGGTCCTCAGCCTGCAGAGATCAGTGACTGTCAATCGCTGACTCTCTGCTCTTCCCCTCCAGCCCTCACTAGAACGCTGGGTTTTGGCGGGGGTGGCTGGCTCAGGCTCTCAGCGGCTCTCTTGAGAGGCTGAGCCAGCTGTTGCTCCAGGCTTTTGGGCAGATCCCAACTACACTTTATTGCCAAAAGTGTTGGGCCGGCCCTCCAAATCATGTGATTCAGGTGTTCCAATCACCTCCATGGCCACAGGTGTATAAAGTCATCACCTAGGCATGCAGACTGCTTCTACAAACATTTGTGAAAGAATGGGTCGCTCTCAGGAGCTCAGTGACTTCAAGCATGATACCGTGATAGGATGTCACCTGTGCAATAAGTCCATCCGTGACATTTCTTTGCTACTAAATATTCCACGGCCAACTGTTAGTGGTATTATAACAAAGTGGAAGCAACTGGGAACAACAGCAACTCAGTCACCAAGTGGTAGGCCACGTAACATGACAGAGAGGGGTCAGCGCATGCTGAAGCGCACAGTGCGCAGAAATTGTGAACCGTCTGCAGAGTCAATAGCTAAAGACCTCCAAACTTCATGTGGTCTTCAGATTAGCACAACAACAGTGCGTAGAGAGCTTCATGGAATGGGTTTCCATAGCCGAGTAGCTGCATCCAAGCCTTACATCACTAAGTGCAATACAAAGCATCGGATGCAGTGGTGTAAAGCACGCCACCACTGGACTCTAGAGCAGGGGAGACATGTTCTCTGGAGTGACAAATCATGCTTCTCTGTCTGGCAATCCGATGGACATGTCTGGGTTTGCAATGAGAACAGTACTTACCTGACTGCATTGTGCAAAGTGTAAAGTTTGATGGAGGGGGGATTATGGTGTGGGGTTGTTTTTCAGGGGTTGGGCTTGGCCCCTTAGTTCCAGTGAAGGGAACTCTTAAGGCGTCAGCATACCAAGACCATTTCATGCTCCCAACTTTGTGGAAACAGTTTGGGGATGGCCCTGTTCCAACTTCTAGTTCCCAGACCCTGAGGACCCTTTCAGGGGGTATGCTCACTGTGACAGGAGATGGACAGTGCAGTCTCCAGACAATCTTTTAGCTTGGAGATGAGGGAGAAGGAGGAGAATGGAGGAGTAGGGGAGTGCCTTGCCATTCTAAGCTATGGGGCTGTGTGTTTCTAATGATGCACACAGTGTAGAGTGACATAACTCTGGTCCTTGCATGCAAGGGTAGCTGCATAGGATGCTGGAAGCCACCCTGAAACAAAAAACCTGCGGCAGCGGTCATGGCACCAGCTTAAACAGGATAATAGGTAAGGATTAAAGGATAAAGTCACTGCATACTCATTACATGATTAAAGGATAAGTTCTCCTTTTGGTAAAAAAAAAAAAATAATAAAAATGCACATATTTTTACAGGTAACAAAACGTGTTTTTAGTATTTTTGTTGTTGTAGGAGCCTGGAAGGCATCGCACCAGCGATCAGCAAATCACTGATGCCACGCAAGACTCCTGCAGACCTGTCAGTATTTCTGTCTGCTCGTACCTTGAAGTGGTAGTTCATTGAGGACTACAAGTGGACAGCTGCAAAGGCTGTCAGTAGTTGTAGTCCATTAATTCATTGAACACTGTAAGTGAGTGATGTGGGTGCAGCCCCACACAGCCCCATTTTTTTTTTTGTAAATTTTGACAGCGGGTGGGGGGAAAGATCTCCCGCTAGCTGTCAAAACGGTTTGCGGGGGAAGGAGGGACCAGTCTATTCATAACATGTTATATGTTACACCCTGAATATGGGTGTAACACGTTACAAAATGTGAACTTTGAAGCTGCTGAATATGAATAAAAACCTGTGGGTTTATCAATTTAAATACATGTTTACAGAAATTATATATTTCATTTTATGGATTATTATCATGTTTTTTTTTTTTTTTGTTAGCCCTGATGAAGGGGATGAGGATCCCTGAAATGTGTTAGGTCTCTTGGAACCCTCCATACACATTCCAGCTATAGGAAGCATGCTGTGGTATAGAACTTTCCTTTGTACACAAGCACTGTCTCAACTGCCGGAGTGGAGTGCTTGCATTCCTTTTGTTTCACCTCTTCCAAGGCTGACTGCGATTATTGACGCAGAAAGTAAAGAGGGAGGAAGTTACCAAGCACAGACTGCAGGATGCCTCCATATTGACTCTCTATGGAGCTGTGTGTTTTTATTCTGCAGAGGGTTACACAGAACTAAGATAAAAGTAAATTTAATGGCCTATCTGACTGTTGCTGTGTTTTCTGCATAATAAAAGAAACTCGCTGAATGTCTTCACTGGCTGGCTGGAAATGATCTTTAATCACTAGGGTGGAGAAGTGAATCATTGTTCGGGATAGACCATACAAAACGTTATATGGGACTGACTTGTACTACAAACCAGCAGATAACACATTTTTACATTACATGTTTCTATAGATTTTACAGATGCCGAGGCAGAATGTTTGCCTTCTCTTCTTCTTCAGTGTTTACAATTACAAGATGGAGTTCAGCAAATCCACTGCATCAAAAAGGTAACAACTGGAAAATTCACTAATTTATGTAATACATTTGTGCTCAAAACTTTGCATATCCTGGCAGAAATCATGAAATTTCGGCATTTATATTAAAAATGACTGATCATGCCAAACAACTGACTTTTATAAATAGAATGGAATAAATGAGCGCTGGATAAAAAGTGATAATGATAAAAAGCTGCTGGCATAAAAGGCAAAACCTCAAAAACCTCCTTGTAAAATGTTAAAACATGAATATGCAGCGCTAAAAACTAGATGATAAATTCTAAAATACAGTATCCATGATAAATATATGCAGATATACAATAGAAGGCTTGGTGCAAAGACCAGTATTGCGAAAACATGCTGGATATCTTGAAGACAGAACCAAGTGTATAAAGTGACAATGGTGCCAAAGTCAATAAATCCATAGGTGTTGTAAAATGTTAAGAGAAATCTGTGACATCTGTGGTAAAGAAAGTGAATGTCGATTGCACTAACTGGATAGCGCAAAGAATTTACTCCAACGCGCAATTCTTTGCGCTATCCGGTTAGTGCAATCGACATTGGCTTTCTTTACCACAGATGTCACAGATTTCTCTTAGCATTTTACAACAGCTACGGATTTATTGACTTTGGCACCATTGTCACTTTATACACTTGGCTCTGTCTTCAAGATATCCAGCATATTTTTGCAATACTGGTCTTTGCACCAAGCCTTCTATTGTATATCTGCATAGGTTTATCATGGATACTGTATTTTAGAATTTATCATCTAATTTTTAGCGCTGCATATTCATGTTTTAGCAACTGACTTTTCTACAACCCCTTGATGCCGACGTAACACAAATATGCGGCCTCACAGAACTGGGCTTTTTTCCGTGGGGCCGCATATTTGCGTACCTGTGTTTGTGCTGGGAGTGCGCCGCACTGAGCGCTCCCAGCACACAGATTATGGTGTCACTGAGAGACTCGGTCCCTTTCTAACTATCGGGACCCGGGACTCTCGATTTTGGGTCACATGATCGCTGTGATAGCCTCTGATTGACTATCACAGTGATCAGTCACTGTACAGCGCGGTCACCTTGTCTTTTTTTGTTTTCTCTTTATGAATGGAGGAGAGAGATACATTGTATCACTCTAACTCCTGGTATAGAGGAGAAAAAAAATGTTTGTAAAAAAAAGAAAGAAAGAGAAATAAATAAAGAAAAAAAAAACCTAGATCAAGGATTGATCTAGTTCCGTGCCAGGGTAAGTGTTTGGCTCAAGGTCAAAAGGTCGGGGTCAAAGGTCAGGATTTAAAAAAAAAAATTGGTGTCGTGTTTTAGGTAATAAAACAAAGCAAAATGCGCATTATTGTTTCTGGGCTGTACTAAGGGTACAAACAACAAATAACATACACTTATATGGTATCGCTGCAATTGTCAAGAGTTGGAAAATGTATTTTGGGTTGTTCTTTGGTAGGTTATGGTAGTAACAAGAAACACACAGCTAAATTTAAAAAAATTATTTTCTTTTTTACTATTTTGGGCCAGTTTTCCTTTGATGATAAAAAAAAAATCAGGAGATATCTATTACCATTTACCACCAAATAAAAGCCCAATTTGTCCTGAAAAAAAAACGTGGTATAATTCACCTGGATGTACAAAGTAGTTGTGATGACATGTACAGTTTTACTAACACATGTCAATGTTGCAAATTTGTGCTTAGGCATTTAGATTTGTTTTACCCTTAGGTGTGAAGGGGTTAAGGATAGTGATCATAGGAAGCCATTTATTATTACATTACAGTTGGAATCAGAAAATATATAAGTCCGTGCTAAAAAGTGAGATGAAAATGCAAAATATATAGCAGCTGAACACTACACCCTGCTATCAGGCAATATTACTATTGCCTGGTATCTGGCTTTATATATATTCATACATATAAAGTGCAGCGCTTAACAGAATACCAAACAATTAGTGAAACAAAATTGTAATAAAACATATTGAAAGAAATGTCCATCTTGAGTTGTCAAAATAAAGGCAAGTCCCCAAAGACTGTGATGAAACAGGAAAAATCCAAGGACAGCTGATGTGTCACCAACCACTCACTTAAAGGCTTACCGCACAGATGTGACCCCCTGTTAAGAGTGGTCAATCACGCTTTGTTGTAGTATGTTAACCCAGGAGGTTGGAAAGCCGGACCCTCCTCTGGACCCCCAAGGGAGAAAAAAAGCCAAAGATCCTCCAAGTAATGATCCCTAAATAGGGTAGCTAAACCACTCCGGTTGGGACCCAAATAGGTGTTAGGAGACATGCAAGAAAAGAATGCGCCACATAGTGTAAAACCAATAAAACAACTTTTATTTAAGAAATGGTTACACTCACATGAAAGTGGACATAGATGAGCATGTAAAAGCAAAAGTCAGATTCTTCCAGCATCCAAAATGGCTACCGGCTGGTCGCACATGTGTGGTAGCATGTGTGCATGGAGCAAAAGCAAAAATCACTGAAATGGCCCTGACCAAAAGTTTACATACTCTGGAATGTTTGGCCTTGGTACAGATACACAAGGTGACACAAATGGGTTAAAATGGCAATTAAAGGTTAATTTCCCACATCTGTGGCTTTTGTTTTTGTTAAAGTATCATCGTATTGTCCTCCTTGAAACAACCACATTGTCTTTTTTGAGAGCAGCCTGTATTTATCCTGTAGGTTTTTCTTTGTATCCTGAACAATTCTTCTAGCATGTTGTGGCTGCAATCTTTCTCGTTCTACCTGACCTTGGCTTGGTATCAAGAGATCCTTGAATTATCCACTTCTTAAAAAGGGATTGAACAGTTCTGACTGGCATAGTCAAGGCGTTGGATATCTTTTTATTTCGTTTTTCATCTTTATAAAGTTCCATTACCTTGTTATGCAGGTCTTTTGACAGTTCTTTTCTGCTCCCCATGGCTCAGTATGTAGCCTGCTCAATGCATCCACGTGAGAGCTAACAAACTCATTGACTATTTATACACAGACACTAATTGCAATTTACAAAGCCACATATGTGAGAAATGACCTTTTATTGCCGTTTTAACCTGTGTGTGTTGTCTTGTGTGTCTGTACCAAGGCCAAACATTCCAGGGGTTGTAAACTTTTGATCATGGCCATTTGGGTGATTTCTGTTATCATTATGATTTAAAAAAGAGCCAAACAACTAAATGATAGTAAATGGCTTCATATGATCACTATCCTTAAATAAAAGACAGTTGTTTTGGTATGATCAGTCATATTTTCAATGTAAATAATAACATTTCACGATCTCTGCCAGGGTACGCAAACTTTTGAGCACAACTGTAACTGATGGATGATTTTTTTCTCTGACTCCAGCAATGAGGTCACCCTGAGTTCATTGGGTCTGTTCTTCCACACCATGGAGTCTCTGTGCTGCTGCTGCAGAAGGAGGTGTCAGTGATCCCAGCTGTATTTTTTCTGATGTTTAGTAAATTAATACCCTTCAAGGGGAACTGTGATCCCAACATAATTGTGGCAGTTGATGGTGATGGGAAATCTGAAGTGTTTGCATTGAAACACACAGTGCGGCTCAGCTGTGCCCCCTTCTCCTTTCTCCCTCCTCACTACCTGTGATTGACAGTAGCAGGAGGCAATGGCTCCCGCTGCTGTGTCTAAGCCAGTGAGCAGTGAGAGAGAGACAACAGTGATGCTACTCTTGTACATAGCACTGGATCATCAGGCTCAGGTAAGTATAAAGGGGAGCTGGGGGGGGGGGGGAGAGACTGCACACAGAAGCATAGCATGCATTAAGGTAAAACACTTTCTGCCTTTAACCACTTCCCCGCCGCCCTATAGCACAAATACTGCTACAGGGCGGCAGGGCTGTGCAAAATCACATATATATACGTAATTTCCGGGTAGGGGACGCGTGCGCACATGCGCTGCCCTACTCGCTCTGCCCTACTCGTGCTGCCATTGGCGGCTACGGCTGACGATCACTGGGTCCCGGTCGGAGATTCCCCGCTGGCACCCGGTGATCGCCGAAGAATACTGACAGAGGAGAGGTCTGTATGTAAACAATACAGATCTCTCCCCTGTCAGCCCCGGCACGCTGCTTTTGTTTTGCTCTGCATAGCAGATTAATACAAAGTAGCGTGCTTACACAGTAAAGTACACATAGTAAAACAGCACAATATCGCCATTTGTAGACGCTATAACTTTCACATAAACCAATTAATTGATTCATTTTTTTTTTTAGCAAAGACATGTAGCAGAATACATTTGGTCTAAATTTATGATGAAATTTGATTTTTAAATTCAAGTCAAAAATATTTTTTTTTTTCAAAATTTCATTTGGGTGCAGCATTGCATGACCGCGCAATTGTCAGTTAAAGTAACGCAGCGTCATATCGCAAAAAATGGGCTGGTCAGGAAGGGGGTGGTAAATCATCTGGAGGGCAAGTGGTTAAAACCACTTTAATATTTTCATCTTAGTATTGCCAAGTATTTTTCTGGCTAGAGTTAGGGAGGGTTATAACTCCTGTCAGTTTTTTTTTTTTTGCCCTATGTGTGCCTCATAGAGGAATATTTCCTTCGCTTCCCGTCCCATAGCCAAAACAGGAAGTGAGAGGAAATCCCTCCAAAGTGAGGGAATCCTGGGGTCTTATCAGGGTTATGAGAAATAGTATCCCCATTGGAAGATTTCTCCTCTATTCCTGTTCTGGTGTCAACCCAAAATTTTAGATATTCTTCTACTTTAATTTTCGATGATAACAGTAAACAGGACAAATAGGGTGGCTCTCCCTTATGGGGACACAGACAGCAATAAAAACTTTTTCAAATCCCTCCACTCCATGCAAAACTTAAAAAAACCTCTTGCCTTTAGTTACACTGTAATTATATATTAACTACAGTTATTTATATAGTGCTTTCTAATTGCAGTGCCTTACATACTATACAATCACATCAATCTCTGCTTTCAAGGAGCTTACAATCTAAGGTTCCTATAACTAACACACACAGTGTCCTGGCTAAGATTTAAATCAGGGACCCTAGTGTCACAAGGCGGAAGTGCTGACCACTAAGTCATTGTGCTGCCCAAAGAATTATGTGATAATGATGGGATAAGTAATATCGTACTTGTGCTGCTGTCTGTTGAAACCAGTTGGCATGATTACTTTTGTTTAGTTGGTGTCATATAGGGTGAGCATCATAGATGCATGAAGAAGTAGGAAAAGACATTGTGATAGAGGGCTGGGGAGGGTAAGAAAGAAAAGAAATAAAGATGAAGGGGTTAAAAATTGGGAAGAGAAAAAAAGGAGTAGTATTGGGTAGAGGGGTAATATGGGGGGGGGGGGGGGGGGGGGGGGTAATTGATAGGGTCTGATGAGGATCAGGGTCTGTCTAGGGCAGGTTTACTGATATATGGAACAGGTTGTGGTTGAAGCCTCATAGTAATTTGTTTCAGTGTGGATGGTTGACTAAAAGACGAGAGTTAGGTCTGGAAATATTTTCTGTAAACTGTCATCATGTCTCTTTTTTTCAGGTGGTGCCTCTCTTAGAAAACTTGCCTAGCAGTTCTGCGGGTACAGAAGAGCTCTGCTGCTCTATGAGTGTTCTGGCTGAAATGTACTTTGCGGTTGACAACAAGAATCCACTGAAAAAGGTGTTGGCAAGGTAAGCAAAGTCTTTGTTCGTATAAATTTAAAGCAGGCCTGAGTTTATGTCGGGCATTCTTCCTGTCTTATTTGATTGCCATGGCACCTCTGTAATCAGACTTCTTGATGCCCTGGGGTGTTGTGATGGTGGTGGCAGTAACAAGAGGGGAAGGTTGGATTTCTGGGCAAAAAAATGTTTGCAGCCATGGACTCTGGCATCTGAGTTCCTGCAGCATTTTTAAAGGAGAAGGGCCAAAGCTCTTATGGCTATACTTCTATGGATCACAGGAGTGCAGTTCGTTCAGCTGACAGTGAGCTAAAGTTGGTCACTCAGCCAGTCCAGGCTCGGGAAAGATCCCGACTTTACATTCAGGATCCACTCAGATGCGTGGACTGTACAGGGTTGACTTTGAGAGTCTCAGCCAACCCTGCTCAGCCCAGTGGCCCAGGGAGCACTGGAGGGGCAGAGCAGAGAGCTGGTGACTTGACAGTCACCACTTTCTGCTCAGAGTGGAGGGCATTTTGTTTTTAGATGGACTCTAGTATGTAGTAGGTTGTCACATGGGCTTCTTCAAAATTCTGGGTAATTTCCTTGCAAGAAATGCATTATCCAGTGTTCTCCAGACATGTAATGGGCTTCTGAACACTATTTCTCATTTCAACCTTGCCTTCTCACAAATGAATGGTCTTTTCTTCAACCCTTATTACCCCATCAGTAAAATGAGGCCTCTGAATAGGTTTGGTATACAGGTGTAGGCCTAAACACCCTGTAAAAGTTGGTAATCAAAAAGCACTACATGTGCTAATTATTTGGTTTTTTTTTTTTTTTTCTTTCTTTAATCACTTAAGTTTCAAAAGGCTTTACCCCTATCGTGACTTGCCATTTTTTGCTATTCAACACTGCACTAATTTAATTGGCAACTGTGTTGTCGTGCCACACTGTACCCAAATGAAATTTATTTCAAATAGAGCTTTCTTTTGGTGGTATTTGATCACCACTTTTTTTATTTTTTATTACATAAATGAAAAAAGGCTGATGAAAAAACCCAATATATTTAACTTTCTAATATAAAACATATCCATTAAAAAAACATTTCTCTAGTACAAAAAAAATCCCAATAAGTGAATTTTGATTGGTTTGTGTGAAAGTTTTAGCGTATAAAAAACTATTGTGTATATATACTGGAATTTATTTATTTTTTTTACTACTAATGGCAGTGATGAGCGACTTATAGTAGAATTGTGATAGTGTGGTGGCCAATCTGACACTAACTGACACTGGGTGGGAACTGAGTAACTTTGTCACTGACATCTCCAGGGACACTAATACACTGATCAGTGATAATGCTATATACTGTCACTGTACTAATGACACTGGCTGAGGGCAATCGAAGGGTTAGCTGTGTGCCTAACAATGTGTAACTTGTAAGGTGCACTGATTTTACTTTGCAGGGAGAAAACACAGCCACATCTCTGCTCCATGTACAGAGCCTTGTGTTGTTAGTAAACACAGGTCTCAGTGCTGTCATTCGCTAATCCGATCAGCAGGTCCTGGCCATAAATCATTGGCTGGGATCTGCTAACCTGTATTGAATGACCGCACAGACCCCTGCCCGGAAATGCTGGATCACGTACATATACGTAAACCAACGCAGCGGGGCTGCTTTACCGCAGTAAAAAGGCAGTGGGCACTCTGAAAGTGGTTAATATGCTAAATATTTGAATGTATTTGACTACCTTTATTGCTGGTCTGTATCAAGACTACCTTTGTTGCTGGTCATGTGACCAAAAGCCAAGGCATGTTATAGATTTAGCATTCAGTCTAGCTGATCTATCAGGCTCATTAGAAGAACTGATTATACTGTATATTGTAGAAGTAGAATTTTCTATATGCTGAAACATCTAAATCCTGATTTTCCACAGTTCTGTTAATGACATTGGGACCCCATATATTCTGCTTAGTTTCCATGGAATATATTGTGTTTTGGTCATTACACTGGGGTTAGGTTAGTATACCACTTTTATTAGGTCTATCCCCTCTTTTATATCCCCCCTCCCCCACCAGCAAAAAAAAAAACTGACTTGATGGCTGACACAGGTTACCTGGTTCCTGCAGAATAGTTTTTCTGTCCAGTTTCCATCTTCAATCCCCTGCTTTGTCTGTTATAGGAGTTTCACTCTTGTTTCTGGAGTCCATATTGTTCACTTTAGAGTGCAAGTAGGAGAGGAGTCCGTCTCCCTTGCTTACCTTCATGGGGGGCAGTGCAGAAACGGGAGCCGATAGCTCTGCTAGAATAACTGAAGAGAAGCTGGAAGCCCATGGATTCATCTCCACCAACAAATGGAGTACTGTGGCTGAATGTTAACCTGCAAATGTTTCTTTTGATTTTTAGTGCATTAAACAACATTCCTGATCCATGTAAAAATGATGTGATCTGTGCTTTAACCATATGCCTAAAGAAGGATATTGCAGTAGAAGATACTGAAGACTTTAGGAGAGTGGTGGATAATATAGCATCGTGTATGGAGAACAAACTTGGTAATGCACATTTTACAGTCTGGTATGAAACATTACTCCTCTGTGGCCCAGATGCACATTAAAGTTAACCTGTGTCTAAGCAAAACCCTCCTAAACTGTCAGCAGGGCTGTATAGCAGGCATCTACAGGCTCCTGAATGTACCATAGAGCAACCCGAAGTCCAATGTTTTACATAATCCATAGCTGTCAATCACCCCCAAAGCAGATAGCTTAGGTTCTTTTGAGGTTAAGCCCATAGTTCCTGAAATGACCGAGTGCTCTGGTATGTACAGACCTTCCGGGGTCAGATGGGTTGAGTGCCTGACCCCACATCCTGTGCGTCACTGTTAGGCAGTGAGGTGACCTTTTATAATAATGGGTATAATTGCCAGACCCTCAACTCATAAGATCACATTTATATTCTGAGCACCAAGTACTTGAACTGAAAAAAAAAAAAACATCTGATGTGCGGGCATGGATGTCCATGGTAAATTACAGCCCTGACCCTACGTATGTATAGTAGACTTCTGACTTGTTTTATGTAATCTTCCTGCACAGTAGAAGAGGTTTAATTTCTGGGTTGCCCAATTTTTCCAATACCGATTTTATGATCCTGAGCTTAAAGGAGAAGTACAGCCAAAGCTGGGGGGAATGGTTTATTATGAAGATAAATCACGGCCTTTTGTACAGGCATGACCTAGAATTGCAGGGCCTCCAAAAGACACAAGGTTTGACTTGATGGTTGACACAGGTTATCTAGGACAGATTCACTTTACCAGAGCAAGACAAATGGGTAATCTTCTCTCCTCTTCTCTCCTCTTCTCTCTTCACTCCTCTTCTCTCCTCTTCTCTCCTCTTCTCTCCTCTTCTCTCCTCTTCTCTCCTCTTCTCTCCTCTTCTCTCCTCCTTCTCTCCTCTTCTCTCCTCTTTACTCCTCTTCTCTCCTCTTCTCTCCTCTTCTCTCCTCTTTACTCCTCTTCTCTCCTCTTTACTCCTCTTCTCCTCTTTACTCCTCTTCTCTCCTTTTCCTACTCCTCCTTCCTTCTCTCCTCTCCTCCTCTCTTCTCTTTTCTTCCTTCTCTCCTCTCCTTTCTTCCTTCTCTCCTTCTCCTCTCTTCCTTCTCTCCTCTCCTCTCCTCTCTTCCTTCTCTCTCTCCCTCTCTTTTTCTTCCTTCTCTCCTCTTTACTCCTCTTCTCTCCTCTTCCCTACTCCTCCTTCCTTCTCTCCTCTCCTCTCTTCTCTTTTCTTCCTTCTCTCCTCTCCTCTCTCTTTTCTTCCTTCTCTACTCTCTCTTTTCTTCCTTCTCTCCTCTCCTCTCCTCTCTCTTTTCTTTCCTTCTCTCTCTCCTCTCCTCTCTCTTTTCTTCCTTCTCTCCTCTCCTCTCCTCTCTCTTTTCTTCCTTCTCTCCTCTTCCTCTCCTCTCTCTCTTTTCTTCCTTCTCTCCTCTCCTCTCCTCTCTTTTTTCTTCCTTCTCGTCCTCTCCTCTCTTCCTTCTCTCTTTTCTTCCTTCTCTCCTCTCTCTTTTTCTTTTCTTCCTTCTCTCCTCTCTCTTTTCTCATCCTTCTCTCCTCTCCTCTCCTCTCTCTTTTCTTTTCTTCCTTCTCTCCTCTCCTCTCTCTCTTTCTTTCTTCCTTCTCTTCCTCTCCTCTCTCTTTTCTTTCTTCCTTCTCTCCTCTCCTCTCCTCTCCTCTCTGTTTTCTTTCTTTCTTCCTTCTCTCCCCTCCTCTCTTTTCTTTTCTTCCTTCTCTCCTCTCTCCTCTCTCTTTTCTCAGCTGTGCTATAAGCCTTTTACCGGAAGGTAATTAAAATACCTATACCACCTTATACATAATTGTTTTGTGACTTTTAGTTCTAACAGCCTAGCAGATATCAGTTTAGTTCTTTTCTCTGTAGTCGGGTGTAGAAAAGATAAGGGCAGCATTGTTGGATGCATGGTCAAAAACCAAACACATGTATGTGTTCAGGTCAACTACTTTGGTTCACAATGCCACAGTATGTGTTAAAAACACACACCCATTTAGCTTGATTTGTTATTTATTTCAGGTACTTGTATAGCGCCGTCAATTTATGCAGCGCTTTGCACATATATATATATTGTACATTCACATCAGTCCCTAACCCTCAAGGGGTGTACAATCTAAGGTCCATAACTCATATTCATACATACACATATTAGGGCCAATTTAGTCGGAGCCAATTCATCTACCAGCATGTCTTTGGAGTGTAGGAGGAAACCGGAGTACCCGGAGGAAACCCACGCAGGCACAGGGAGAACATGCAAACTCCAGGCAGGTGGTGCCGTGGCTGGGATTCGTTATGATTGTTCCTTTAGCCAGAGTGCCAACATCTATTCTTCTGTTGTGCATTTTTTGACCTCACCACCGTACCCTTGTCTCACTTTAATATTTTTAATAAAGAAATATCGAAAACTCAGACAAACATTCAAAAATGTATTTCCAGTAAATCGCAGAAATATAAAATGCTGCTACTTGTCAGCACCCAACCAGAACTGAAATAACCACTTTATACGACCTTAGCTGTTAAAATATATATACAGTATGTGATTGATTTTTTTTCCCTGCAATAATAGAGCTTTAGCTATTTGCTGCAATATTACATTAAACTTTCATAATTAAAGGTCATATTAATTTGTAAATATATGTAATGTGTGTAAACTGATCTTTCATACAGGTTTATGTAATAAAATAAAGATTTTGCAAATATATTTTTAATACAGGGGTTGATTTACTAAAACTGGAGAGTGCAAAATCTGGCGCAGCTGTGCATAGAAACCAATCAGCTACTAACTTCGGCTTGTTCAAATAAGCGTTGACAATAAATCCTGGAAGTTGATTGGTTTCTATGCAGAGCTACACCAGATTTTGCACGCTCCAGTTTTAGTAAGTCAACCCCACAGAGTGCTTTCATGACAATTTGCAGGACAAGCTGTGCTTTCCAATAAGAAGGCCCACTGCTAGTTACTTCTTCCCTATTATTTGCTTCATTGTAGCTGAAGGTCCCCACATGGCGGATGGCCCTAGCATACAAGAGGGAGGTGTCTCTTCTCTGTATCAATAAGTTAATGTTTTTGTAAATAGACCTACAGAGTGGGAGATCTAATCTAATGGGACAGTCAGTCTATTTACAGAATAGCAGAAAGCCCATATAGAAAACCTTCAGCTGCCAACATTAGTTGTGCCACATGCTGGTAAATATCAAATATTCAGTTTTTATATTTTTATTTTTAAAAATAAAAAGTTGATATTTATTAGATTTTTGGTTCTGAGTCTAATAACTATGTTTAAAAAATGCTATAAAATCCCCTTTAAAGAGAACCTGTCCTATACAAACCGACCCATTGGCTACACAGTAAAGCTGTGTTTTTATTTTGTAACTGCTCATAAGGAAGACAGTAAAACTAGCAGGCTTCTTATGTAGATCTGCTGAAAGTTGGCGGCATGGTTTTTTTTTTTTTTTTTTTACAATGGCTGCATCATTATCAGCCATGCTGAATGCTGAATTTTTTTCACCTGCAATGCCTGGGAACCAACTAAAGGCTAATATCAATCTAAGTTGGCTGGCTATGCACAGAATGGACATTTTTTTGCTACCCTCCATTTGGGCAGAGAGTGGTTTGGGTAAAGGTGTCCTTTTATGACACAGAGAATAGCTGTGATTCAGAGGATCGCAGCTATTCTCTGGTCATTCACAGTTAATAACACTCAGGAGATCATGTCAGCCCTTCACTGGAGATCTGTGTTCTCCCTCCAGATTCTCCAGCCCAGAGCTGGAGAATCGGTGGGACCGCAAACTAAGCAGCGATAATTTACCTCTGCTTAGTAAACTGATCTTTTACTGTAATCTCGTGAAATTATAGTAAAAGCAGCCGTTTTCCAGCGTTTGTAGACCGTTCTCCCTTCGTTTGGAGAACTGATCTACATATACTTCATAAACGGCATTCACAGGAGAACTGTGTTCTCCGAGAATGCCGGGAACTGAGCAGCGATCTGTTACCGCTGGTTCATAAACGGACACCATAGTACAGTATGTGCTGCACAGTGATCATGAACACACAACATAATGGGGTTGAGGTACTAAAACCGGAGCGTGCAAAATCTGGTGAAACCAATCAGCTTTCAAGTTTTATTTTTCTTTTGTCAAAGCTTAAAGTGGTTGCAAAGGCTGAAGGTTTTTCACCTTCATGCATTGTACGCATGAAGGTAAAATAGCCTTCTGTGTGCAGCAGTCCCCCCAATACTTACCTGAACCCGATCTTGGCCCAGTGATGTGCATGAGAGTCCCGGCTCTCTCTGGTCTCTCCCTCCTTATTGGCTGAGACACAGCAGCGGGAGCCATTGGCTCCCACTGCTGTCAAGCACAGCCAGTGAGAAGGGAGAGGGGGGCGGTACAGAGTCCTGCTCTGCTGTGTCTTATGGACGCAGAGAGCGGGGCAAGCAAGCACCAGTGCCCCCATAGCAAGTGGCTTGCTATGAGTGCACTGTTTAGGGGGGAGGAGCCAGAAGCGCCTGCGGGGGACCTGAGCAGAGGAGGATTGGAGCTGCTCTGTGCAAAACTACTGCATAGAGCAGGTAATCGTGACATATTTGTTATTTAAAAAAAAAATAAAAAGTAAGCCTTTAGTATACCTTTAATTGGGCAAGCTGAAGTTAGAAGCTGATTGGCTACCATGCAAAGCTGCACCAGATCTTGCGCTCTCCAGTTTTAGTAAATTAACCCCATGTGCGTTACGTTTGCATATGACAGGATTCAACACCGATTGTCTCACAAAACATAGGAGTGATTTGTGTACAAATACTTTTCCTAAAACGAGGAATGTCTTATTCTTTCTGAAGGTGTTCCACCTTGTGGCCATTTTAGTAAATGCAAGTGTCTGTGATTTAGCTAGCTTGCTTTGAAATATTATCTGTGCAGAACTGCATTCTGCAGATACGAGACATCTATCATGACTCTCAGGAACATCTTTCAGCTTTCGGTTGAAGGCCATGAATGTTTTGGTTTTTTTTTTCCCCACAGCCCTTCAGTTCCTGGTAAAAGTTTTACATTCATTTCAAAGTGAAAACAAGTGAGTACAAAAGATATTTTACTTACTAATAAATATCAGACATTTTCAAGATCCAGAACAAACAAGTTGTAACCGATTTCCCTGTAATTATTGATCTGTTCTGCTGTATCATTAAATGTCAAGTATTTTTTATTTTCCCTCCAGACTGATTTATGGCTGTTCTGTTTGTAAAATGTCTCTAAAGCAGGCCATAGACGGGGCGAAAACCGGCCGTTTTTTTTTTTTAAAAAAACGAAAAATTGGTCGTTCAATCGGCCGACATTACCACCATTGGTAAAAAAAAAAATCGGCTGATTTTCGTCCTGTCTACGGCCAGCAAATATAATAGCGGTGTCCCTGCAGAGAGCTCCGCTATTATATTTGACATTTAAAAGTATAGCAAAGTTGCAACATTATATCTATTTGTATCCATTACGGATACAGATGTTTCTATTCGGATACAAATAGATACAATGTTGCAACTGCAATACTTTTAAATGTCAAATATAATAGTGGAGCTCTCTGCAGGGACACTGCTATTATTTTTGACATTTAAAAGTATTGCGGTTGCAACATTGTATCTATTTGTATCCGAATAGAAACATCTGTATCCGAAATGGATACAAATAAATAAAGATGTTCTTCTTCTTTTTCTTCATCTTCTACTTCTTTTCCTTCTTATTGCAGGTCACGGCTCATGCGCATTTTTTTTTAATCGGTAAAAAGATCGGCCGATTTGCCCATCATTGCCGTGAAAATCAGCCGATCAACAAAATAGGCCGTTTTTTTTCCAACATAACCGATTAAAAAAATGTGTCAAAATCACGAAAAACGGCCGAAAAGTTCACCCACTAACAATCCGAAAATCGGCCGATTATTCTTTCGGCCGATTTTCGACCCACCTATGACCTGCATAAGAAGTAATGTAATCAAAGCTTCGACCTATTTAATAACGAAGGGCAAAAGATGATGTTATATGGTTTTATATTCCATACCAGTCAGAAGCCATGAAAGATAGCTTTCCAAAGTGCAAAGTATTCGGTCAATTGGAGAACCAATCCAAATTCTTGAGAGTAATATATTTGGGAAATGGTTAAAGGATAAGAATGCACGTTTTGAAGGATGTATTGATTGAGGGGAAAATGTACACTTTTCAAAATTTAAAGAAGAAAAAAGATTTATTTATCACATTTGATGAGTGGAGGTATTATCAACTAAAGCACTTTGTTTCAAGTCTCCCTCAACCATTGAGTACGTCAGAGGACATGTATCCATTTGAAAAACTGTTAAATCAAAAAACAATCCCAAAACATGTTACTTCTAGGATTTATAAGATCCTAATGACTATAGAAGGAACTGATCCTCCGGGGTTCTTGAAAAAATGGGAACAAGAGATTGGAACAGAATTGACTGTACAGCAATGGAATAAAGTTTTTAAATGAACACATGAGGTGACAAATATGAGCACAGTAGAGATGAATTATAAATGTTTAACTAGATGGTATATTACACCAAACATAGTTCACAGACAACAAGTAGACACATCACCTTTGTGTTGGAGAGGATGTGGAGAAAGGGGTACAATGACACATATATGGTGGGGTTGTCCAAAAATACAGGATTACTAGAGAGACATAATTCATTATATTCAGGAGATATGTGGGATAATGGTACAAAGAGATCCCTGGAGTTGTTTATTCTATATATTTGAACCTTCAGTGAAAATATATAAAAACAGGGTACTTTATCATCTAATTAGTGCAGCTAAGAGTCTGATTCCCAAGTTTTGGCAGGTTCCTAAAGCTCTAAAAATTAACGAATGGATAAATAGAGTTGAAAATATTTATAAGATGGAGGAGTTATGTCATATAGAGGAGGATAAAATGGAAAAACTTAGGAAAACGTGGTGTAGTTGGTTGAAATTTAAAACCTCCGAAAGATATATGGAACTGGTGGGTACTGGTGTAGAAATTAGAGGTAGAAGATAGGAGGGAGTCTTAATTGTGAGTTTGAGGGAGAGCAATGTTGGAGATAGAGAGACAAGTAGATAAATATGAGAAAGGATATAAATCACTAAGAGGAGGGGGGAGGGTATTAGGGGTATAATGGATTGGGTGTATGTGAATATTTTTCTAAATATGTTGTTCTTGTTTATATTGGAAAATCTAATAAAAGTAAAATAAAAAAAAAAGAAAACCCTAAACAACACTTTCAATTGTATCCAATTAGGCAGGCCCCTGCATTACATAGTTGAAGGTAAATCTAAAAGAAATTGGGCAGAAATTGAACAGAAAATTGTATAGTGTATGGCCAGCCTTAGAGACGTTCAGCAGGTAGATTATCTTTCTGATTTGAGCTTTTAGAGCTGAAGTTTAGCTTTTTCTTTTTTGGTCAACAACTTTAGTGAGCTAACTTACCTGTAATGAAAGATGTCCCATGTTGTACAGGCAGCTGAATTGTGAAGAAATTGTCTCTGCAGGGATGCCCTGTCCTCTTCCTGTCTCCAAATTTCTGATATATAGGAGGTTACTAGCTAATTATTATTATTATTATTATATTATTATAGCTAATAGTTAATAGCTTCAAACTCTGGGCTGAGATGCTGTGAAAAAAGGCTCCTGGCATGGGTCCACTGCCTCTTCTTTCCCCCTCCATTGGGAAAAAGTCCCAACACAGTCTGTGAATGGGAAGAGTTTGATGAGTCACAGGATTCCCACCCCAATTCACCGATCATGTTACAGGCCGTAAAAGCAATGAAATAACTTTTCTTAATGGAGGAGGAGAGGGCATGTCCAGCTCTGCCTAGAGCTCAAAGCTATTAACCCCTGTGCACTGGAAGTTTAGCCACAGGAAGAGGACAGGGCAGCCCTAAAGTGGAGATTTTTCCAGAATCTAGCTGCCTGTATGATGTGGGACATACTTTATTATAGGGAAGTTAACTCACTATAGAGCAAAAAAATCAGATTTAATACAATATTTTTATGTTGGAAAATATGTTTAACAGAGCAGATGTTTTTGAGAATTTGCCTGGAACTAGTAGAGAAATGTTAGCATACAGCAATGATTCCTTATTGGTTCTGACTGGCCACATGCTGATTGTATAAGTCTGGCAATGGCATGTTGCTATGTACAGGGAAAGAGAAGGATATAACTACTATTCAAGCTGTTATTATGACAGTAACAACATACAGCACATACCATTCTAGTGTTTATTCTACTGGTCCCATAATTACTCACACCTGAAAACTCATAACAAAGTATTGTAATTTTCCAAACTTATTAAAGGATAAGTTCACCTTGTAAAAAATAAAAAAAAACCTAAAAAACAAAATAAATGCACATATTTTTGCAAGTAACAGAAAATGTGCATGTATTTTTATTTCTCTAAGGAGCCCGTAAAGCATTATACCTATAAACAACAGATCACGGGTGCAATCTTGGGCTCCTGCAGACTCTCAGGATAGCTGTCTGCCCGTAGCAGGCATTTACCTGAGAGCAGGAAAATCCATGAACTACAAGAGCGCTCACCAGAAACCTTGTGGTCCATTGATAACTACAAGCAGTCAACTGCAATGGATGATGGTACTTGTAGTTCATTCATTCACAGAACTCTGTGAATGAATGATGCAGCCGTGTGGAAGAATCGCTGCACAGCCGTACTGTTTTCAAATTGTGACAGGGAGGTGGGGGAGAGGAGACAGATGCTGAAGATGTTACATGTTACAATTATATCATAAGGGTATGCGCTATTAATAAATTATATAAATATATCACCATTTATAAAGTGACCAAAAAATTATATAAAATATCCAAAAACCATATAGTGTCCAAAAACAATATATAAATATATCTATTAGTGTCCAAAAATAATCTTCAGTGACTTCATAACACTGACAAATCCACCACCAAAAACGATTGAATGAACTCACCAGAGCTAATTGCTGGTCAAATTATAAACCAGCAATAGCGCTTGTGCTCTGGGAGCGATGAATAATGATGTCCAATTAGTAGATGTAGTAATACTCAATCACTTTCCAAGTAATCAATAATAGTAAGCAGCCTGAGGAATACTATATCCCGATCATAGAAAATACTCTGCAGCCAAAGGATCTCATGGGAAATTTCTCCACTCCATTTCATGCCTCCATATATACATGCAGCACACGCAGGAACAAAAAAGAAAACAAAATGGTGCAATACGTATTTACCATTTATCTATTTAATAAAAAAGCTCATAAAAAACTCACAAACAAGGTGTCCAGACAGACACCAGCTTAAATTGCAATGCTCAACAGAGGTGAGGTACAAATACCGCTCACCACGGATCACCTCCACCAAACAATGGACAAGGAGCGTTCTGACATCCGCATCGAGTAGGCCACGCCCAACGCGTTTCGTCACCATGACGTCATCAAGGGGCGGTACCCTTATGATATAATTGTTTACTTGTGCCAAATTATAATTTTTTTATTTTTTGGTAGGGAATTGCAGCTGACACATAGTTTTGTTGTTAAAAGTGGCGCTTTTTTCCTTTTATTATTATGTTACATGTTACGCCCTAAATACGAGCGAAACAAGTTCAGAAAGGTGAACATAGCCATTAAATTTCTTGTTACTCTTTGAAGTCACTGCAGTATGAAAAGATCTCAAAAGTTCCATCTCTCACGTCTATCTCTTCTCAGGAAGGTGCTGGGTGATGGGCTTGCTCAGACGCAGCTCATGCATGATCTGTTAACAGCAGTCAAGCTGGCTATGGTTCTACTTCAGAAGTCTCCGGAGGCTCGTGTAGAGGCTCAGGGATTGGACTCTCAGTCTCTGTTATGGAAGGAGATGTGTGACCTGCTGTGCTGCTTCACTAACATATTGTTGGATGGTAAGTGTGCATGGAGTTGTGACTTTATACACGACCTGTCTACCCAATTCCATGTGGATTTTTTTTTTGGTAATTAAGAGGAAGGCGTCATGTCCTAAATGAAAAATCCAGCTAGAAAGAGAGACCACTTATAAATATGATGTTAGGGATGCAGTTCTGGAAACAAGCACACAGAGATCTCCCCACTGGCATACTTTAGAGACATAGGACATTTTTGTTAAAGAGGATATGTGACCCCTGGCAGGGACTAGAAGCAGCAGCAGGGTCTTACTGCAGGCTCCATTAGTGGATGTAATAGCGGGAAAATGTTCCAATGGGGACACTAGTTCTGGTGACCCAGGGGACTCCAAGGAATTCCCTTAATTTGCAGAGATTTCCTCTCACTTCCTGTTTGGCTATGGGGCAGGAAGTGAAGGCAAATCTGCAATGGGACACAGATGACGAAAAAAAAAATCTGATGGGTTATTACCGGGGTGGATTTGATTTAAATCAAGTTGATTTAAATCATGATGTTTAAAGAGCAGCTGTCATCTCTGTCCCACAGCAGCTCCTCCTATGACCCGCTGTTGACTCACTTTAATGGGACGGCTGGTGATGTGGCAGGGACACAACAAGGTGAGGATGTGGCGGCAGCAGGTGAGTGGATGCTCGCTAACAGGTGCTGCCATGATGGATCTAAAATGACAGGTGCTCTTTAAATGTAAGGCATCCGACTCATTCTTGCTGGTAGTGAGAATCTTTAATATTTGCAAACCAAATGAAGGTTTCCTTTTTAGAATAATAAGCTGTCAGGTTAGTAAAACAGCGATATCAGAACCGATTTTAGGTTAATAGGTTAATCACACATAGCTGGAGAACGACTCAGATTCTTTTATTTCATGTTTTTTTTCTCATGGTTACTGTGACATTGTGTGAATGCATCAATACAGTGCATGTTATCTCAGCTTGCAGAGCTTGGATTCATTGAATGAGTTTACCAAAAATGTAAATATTGCAGAATATGCAGCCTCATGCTACATAACTAGGCTATATTATATGCTGAATAAACTAAATTATTAATGTATCTTGAATGGAAAACTATCTTTGGATAGATTTTTACTCCAAAAGCATTTTATTAAAATAAATTTGACACTGCAGAGTGTAACTTGGACTTCCCGCCCCCTGCTCTATGGCAGCTCAGACAAATTGTAAACATTCTGCATTTTGAAGAAATATAGAGAATAAAGGGCTGCAGATAGACAGGTGCAACTTATGTAGGAGGATTTGTTTCATCTCTGTGCATCATCTGAGGTCATTCACTTCACTGTGTATATGTAAGGGTTTACAACCACTTGCAACAGTACCTTTTCTTTCTACAGCCCTTTTTGTTTTGCTGTTGTATCATTGTCTCTTTTTTGTCTTTGTATCTCTTTTTTGTTCTTATATCTTTTTCTGAAAAATACTTTTCCTTTTTTTTCCTTTTTCCTTTATTAAACAAAATTTTAAAATTGTTAAGCTTATCTCTAATGCACTATACCAGAGCTTAAGGCATTCTTTTGTATCTTTTTTTTTTTATCCTTTTATTTTTATTCATCATTTTTGCAATAACAGAACAAAAGTTCCATGTATTCAAGTTTCAACAGAAGAGTAATATACAATTTAAAAACAAAAAAAGAATAGGAAAAACAAAACAAAAAACAAGACACTTTACATACCCAGTGTGATTTGTCAGGTCTCACATTAGAAATTTACGACAGACATTTGCATACAAAATACTATGATTAGATCATGCAGAACAAGGTAATATTTGTCGTACTCCAAAAGAGATGGATTAACCGATTCCTATAGCATAACTGAGACCTTGTAAGTCCAAATGATTTCTATAGCAGTTGCAACCCAGATATTGCATTCAACCTTCAATAAACATTTTAAAATTCTCCCTTGAATACCAGTTGTAGTTCGTGTCTCTGAAAAGCACTGCTATTAATGTGTAGATCTCCGAAATATCCCTGTCTGTGTGACAGCCTGTATTACAGACTTTTCTTAACTTGTTACAGTAGATATATGCGAATGCATGTTGCCATGTGGTGGCAGCGATTTGTGTGTGTAAAGGGTTAATTCTGGAGTTAACCGAATCCTAGTGTTGATAGCTCTCAGACAGCTGGAAAATCTATGTACAGGATGAGGCTGAGTGTGTCATTGTCACACACCCTGCTGGCCCCACCCACCAGACATGATTTGCCCGCATTGCTTAGAGGAGCAGAGAGATCCGGTAAATCTATTACAGGGTATAAAATAAGGTGTGTAATGAAAAAGTGTTTTGCATATTTTTATTAGCATGTCGATTAGGGGGAAAAGGAAAAAAAACTAGGGAAGGCAAAACATGAGCACATTAAACTTTAGTTTCAATGAATGATTTTTAACTTTTAGACTGCAGATTAGTACAGTACTGTGTACATGAATAAATCATTATAATACAAAGCTTTCTCTATTTCAGATGACGTTTTGCAAAATGTTCAGAGCACTTCGGGGATGGCTCTCATCCTTTATCTAAAGACTATGGTTCCGAAGACTGAAAAACTTGCCAAACATGTAAGTTTTAGCCTTAAAGTACAACTTTACTGTAGCTGTCCTTTACAGCCCCCCTCACCCTCAGTGTAACCTACAGAGAATACCAGTTACCTTCTGCCTTACTCTAGATACCTTTACTGTGTGGCTCTGCCTGATCCTGCAAATGTATTGCTGGCCTTGTTTATTGCTCTTGCCAAAAATGACCATGGCTGATCCTTATTCGGAGAGAGCACGCCCGTTCAGGTAGTATGAACCCAGCCATACTCACAAATGAGGCCACAGGGAATAAGCCTGTTTAGTTATACTTTTGTTTTAAATCTGTAACAAACCTGAGCAATTCAGACTGAGCAAAGGATAAAGCAGAAGTTACATCAGACCAAACTGCCTATCACTATGATCAAAAGATCTAGAAAAATAAGTAATTAAAGCTCATCATTTCCCATAAAAGGAAACCTTACCTCTTGAGCATGTAGCTTGTAGCATGAAGAATGGTCATTTACACCAGCCTTTCTCCAGCAGGGTGCCTTGAGGTTTTTTCAGGGGTGCCTTGGCAAAAGCCAGCAGGTGGACCAAGCCTGTCTTTTAGTTACACAAAGCCACAGGTTTTTATTGTGCACCATTACGAACTTCTAGCCACCAGTATCCTGACAACCAGTGACATCAGTTGAAAAGGAGGATATCAGCTGCCTGCACAACATCCTTGTTTGACCCTCCCCCGCCCCTCTCCATCAGTGCTGGGGTCACATTAGCTCACTTATGGAGTAAAACTGAGGGAGAAGAGAAACACTGAAATACTAGTCAGGACCAGTGTGAAAAAGTGTATTTAGGATAGGGTTCCTCGGGACTGTCCATATTTTTAAAGGGTGCCTTGGGACAGTCCATAATTTTAAAGGGTGCCTTGGGACTGTCCATAATTCTAAAAGGTGCCTTGGGACTGTCCATAATTTGAAAGGGTGCCTCGGGACTGTCCATAATTTTAGAGGGTGCCTCGGGACTGTCCATAATTTTAGAGGGTGCCTCGGGACTGTCCATAATTTTAGAGGGTGCCTCGGGACTGTCCATAATTTTAGAGGGTGCCTCGGGACTGTCCATAATTTTAGAGGGTGCCTCGGGACTGTCCATAATTTTAGAGGGTGCCTCGGGACTGTCCATAATTTTAGAGGGTGCCTCGGGACTGTCCATAATTTTAGAGGGTGCCTCGGGACTGCCCATAATTTTAGAGGGTGCCTCGGGACTGCCCATAATTTTAGAGGGTGCCTCGGGACTGCCCATAATTTTAGAGGGTGCCTCGGGACTGCCCATAATTTTAGAGGGTGCCTCGGGACTGCCCATAATTTTAGAGGGTGCCTCGGGACTGCCCATAATTTTAGAGGGTGCCTCGGGACTGCCCATAATTTTAGAGGGTGCCTCGGGACTGCCCATAATTTTAGAGGGTGCCTCGGGACTGCCCATAATTTTAGAGGGTGCCTCGGGACTGCCCATAATTTTAGAGGGTGCCTCGGGACTGCCCATAATTTTAGAGGGTGCCTCGGGACTGCCCATAATTTTAGAGGGTGCCTCGGGACTGCCCATAATTTTAGAGGGTGCCTCGGGACTGCCCATAATTTTAGAGGGTGCCTCGGGACTGTCCATAATTTTAGAGGGTGCCTCGGGACTGTCCATAATTTTAGAGGGTGCCTCGGGACTGTCCATAATTTTAGAGGGTGCCTCGGGACTGTCCATAATTTTAGAGGGTGCCTCGGACTGTCCATAATTTTAGAGGGTGCCTCGGGACTGTCCATAATTTTAGAGGGTGCCTCGGGACTGTCCATAATTTTAGAGGGTGCCTCGGGACTGTCCATAATTTTAGAGGGTGCCTCGGGACTGTCCATAATTTTAGAGGGTGCCTCGGGACTGTCCATAATTTTAGAGGGTGCCTCGGGACTGTCCATAATTTTATAGAGGTGCCTCGGGACTATCCATAATTTTAGAGGGTGCCTCGGGACTGTCCATAATTTTAGAAGGTGCCTCGGGACTGTCCATAATTTTAGAGGGCGCCTTGAAATTGTCCATAATTTTAAAGGGTGCCTTGACTGAAAAAAGGTTGAGAAACACTGATATACACAATCCCCTAAACCTCCCCTCCCTGAATCGTGGAGTGCTTCCTCTGGATGAAATGTATAATCTTTTGAATTCAATAAAGCCATACAAAGCTGCATTATCCATTGACTGGGATTGCAGTACATAACTACGGCCACCACAGCAGAAGGACTGTGCACAGCCGCGCCGATGATGCCTTCTCCTTTCCCCCTTGTAGACAAACTGCACTTCTCCTGCCCAAGTCTGTACCTTCATATGGACCTGAGGCAGGGGTAAACATTGATAGAGCATATGCATTACATCTGTGATGCAGTAATTGTAAATGCAATGTTCTGTGGGCTTTAATGCAAAAAGTAGTCAGTGCACTTTAGTCATAAGATCATTCTTGCAGCATTTAGTTCTTTTTTTGCAAAAGGTGAACTTAGCCTTTAAAGCAGAACTCAGAGAAATTTTTTGCTTTCCCATGCAGTGCAGCTGTGTCTGCACTGCATGGTTTAACTGTTCGTTTTGTCCAGGGGCGCACAGAAAGGCTATACGAACCCAATCCTTTGATCCTCCAGAAAACAGTGCTCGCCCATGTCCAGCGGTGGACTGTTCCTGCCGTCCTCACGTCCAGAGCCCGTCTATAGGCATGATGATGTCAAGAACAGTCCATGGATGAGGCCGCTAGCATGAGAAGGGGCAGGAGTGTCAGGGACTGGTTCTGCACTCAGAGGATTGACAGATTGGGTAAGTGTCCACTCTCCTCACCCCTAGACAAAAACGAGCAGTTAACTCATGCAGTGTGAACACAGCCCCACAGCTTGGGAAGAAAACATTTCCTGGAATTCTTTTTTTAAGCCTCCATATTGTTAATACTGCCTAGCAGGTCCAAAAGGTATAAGGTGGTGGGGACAAACTCTGCAATTATTCATGAATTGGCCAGGTTTTTTACATGCATTGTATTCCATACGTAAAGCTATAACATTACAGGTTCCTCCATGAAATCAAACAAACCTTTCACATTTACATTGGGTGCAATAAAAAGAACATGTAAAAGGGAATAAAGTATATAGAATCTGCTCCTTAGATAGGTTAACACTTCACCATTTCCTTCTATTATCTTATTACTCTCATTTTATCATTGTATTAACACCTAAAGTGAACAAATTTGTTTTACCAATTTGGGAGCCTTCAATCAATTTTAGGAAACTAACAGACCTACAGGAAATGTCCCACTGACATCTGTAAAAGAACATTTTTTTTTCTTTTTAATGCTATCTCCCATGCCTATGTGATTGGCACTCTTTTTGTTTCCAGTAATAAGCCTGTTGATAGTAGTTTAACATTAGGAACATTTTATAGGTGAATGACATGGTCCTGATGTCTGTGGATTCATCTGATGCTCCGGATTGGTTTATCTGCTGCTGTAGTTCATTGTGTAAGGATCTTCCAGACAATGTGTTGCTCTTCCTGTGTCAAGGGGCCCTGACTATGCTGGACTGGAGAAATGGTGGTGGTTTTAGGCCCAGGAGGGGAGACACTGCTTCTAAACCTGCTTAGAGTTCTGCTGTCTCTTAGTTCACGGTAGGTATGGTTCTTTTTACTGAGGTAATTTTAAGTATATAAAAACTATGAGAGATCTTGTTATACAGGACATTGCTATTTGTGTCATGTTTCATTACTTTGTGACTAGTAAGTGCTAGCTCCTGAGCAATTCCACCAAACTCCAAACAGCTTTAGCTCAGTTCTCTGAGCTTGGTCCTTTACTATTAATCAAAGCCAGCCATAGACAAATTGAATCTCAGCCAGTTCAGCAGGGATCGTCCGAGATTCAAACCAAGTATGGGCAGGCTGAATGTACCCAAGTTTATCAATCAACTTGGGAACAACCAGCCTGTTGGGTTTTACATGCGATTATTGCTAGCAGCTATTATAGCCACTAGTAGTAATCGTTGTGTTCTCACGGCGCGGGACGGCCTGCCGGGAGAACACATTGGTTTCCGCAAGGGGGGATTCCCCCATCAATACTGACCAATGGTTGCAGGAAAGAAAATCGCACCGCCTATGGCTAGCTTAAGCAGACAGGGCTGATAGAATTGTTAGTTGCATCCTCTAAATCCCCCTTCCCCACAGGAACAAAACACAAAATGTGTGAGGTTATAGCTTGTTTGGGCAGCACAGTAATTAAGTGTTAGCACGCGTGTCTTGTAGCACTGGGGTCGTTGGTTCGTATACAACCAGGACATAGATTTTACATGTTCTCCCTTGTGATTGTCTGGGTACACAGTTTTCCTCCCACACGCCAAAGATATGCTGGTAGGTTATTTAGCTAATGTCTAAATCGGTCCTAGTATGCCTGTTTGGGTTCAGAAATCCCAGCTGAAGCCTCCTATGGCAAACTCTGGTAACATTCTGAGTGGCTAATGCAGTTCTGGTACTCATTTCAGGCATGGAGGAAAGAAGTGCACTGGAGATTGCAAAGTTAGTAGATATGCCTCCCCACCCATGCCTGTGGTCGTCATGTCTGTTTTAATTCCTTGTACAGACTGTTAAGTTCATGCTAGGGATCTACCCACCCACTCTTATTATGGCCTTGTCTTAACGTTTGGTTACTTCTGTCGTTGGCCTGAGAGAGTTCTCATATGCTTTGTGCCAGTTATGGATTCTTTGTAGAAACAAATGTTTGGAGCACTGCTTGTATGAAATGCTGAGCTCAGAACCTGTCTGGACCATGGCTGAGGTGAAGGTAGGTTGTCTCACTAGGATACTCCGCAAGAGTGAAGACTGCTCAGGTTATTAAACTGTATCCTCCTTTACTCTGAAGTACTGTGAATGGTAATTGTGTGCCCACTGCAAGGGACTTGGTGAATAATTGTAATAATTTCTTATGTCCAATATTCTGCTTTTTTCTTCACTGTGGAGTTCTTCTTAAAGGGTCTTTCTGTTTATCCATATTCCCTTTTGAACTTCTTATTGGTAGGGTTGCACCTATATGGTTTTTTTTAACGGCGAGTACAAGTATCGATACTTAAGTGCTTAAGTACTTGCCAATACCGATTACTGATACCTTTTTGTGGTGCGATCTGAGCCCATCCAGAATGAATGGGCTCAAATCTCACTGCAAAGAATCACATGTGATTTGAACAGGAATGTGGTGCGATTTTTGTCCGATTGCATGCGGTTTCCCGCACTGCTCCTGTGTGATCCCAGGCTGAAGTCACTATGACAAGCCTGCGTTCACACAGGAGTGGAGGGGGAAACCGCATGTGATTTGGACAGGAATCGCACCGCATTCCTGTTCATATCACATGCAATTCTTTACAGTGCAATTTGATCCAGTTCATTTTGAATGGGCTCAAATCACACCACAAAGGTATCAGTTTCAGGTAATCTTGCAAATGATTAGTATCTGCACTGATACAGATACCAGTATTGGTGGAATCCTAGTTAATGGTATAATTTCCTGCAGGATTTGGAAGTCCATATCATTTACTAGAATTTAGTCCCCTTACCAGTGGCAGCCTGAGTCTGGCATGTTTTTTTTCTATGGCTTTTTAAACAAAAGCTTTTCAAGCTGCTTGATACCAACACATAATTCCACTAGTTAATGGTCTGTTAACTTTTACAAACCACTAATTCCTCAATATCTGTATAACTGAACAACAGTGTTTGCTAGGAAGCATAAGGCTTCTGTCCCAGCTATAAAAATCAAGCCAGAGACTGGCTGCAACGCTGCAAATAACCATACTTAAAGCAGAACTTCACCCTAAAAGGGAATTCCGCTTTATGTCCTCCTCCATGTTAAGAAGCTTTTTTATGGGGGGGGGAGGAGCAGGTACCTAGTTTTGTAAGTTACCCACTTCTACATGTGCTGAAATCACCTAGGCAACCCCCCCCCCCCCCCCTGGCAACCTCCTGGAACACATCACAGGTCTCAGGAGGCCGCGGAACCATTCACACAGCTTAGCTCGAATCAGGTAAGTGTCCTTTTATTTAAAAGCCAGCAGCTACAGTATTTATATACTAGTTTTTTCAAACGGACTGAAGAAATGATTTAAAGTACAACTAAAGGCAAAACTTTTTTTTTTTTTGTGTTGGACAGAGTTGAGATGGATTAGAACCCCTGCCAGTTGTTATTGCTATCTTTGCCCCATTAGGGAAGGTTCACCCTCTCTATTTGTCATGTTTACTATTTTCATTAAAAGTGAAAGTAAAAGAAAATCCCAAATTTTTAGTTATTCCCAGAAAAGTAAGAGAAAATAAATCTTCCAATAAGAACACTAGCCTGGGGGCCCCTAGGGATTCCCTTAATTTGCAGGTATTGAGCCTGGCTATGGGATGGGAAATGAAGGGAATTCTCCCCAATGGGACATAGTTGGCGAAAAATAAACTGATAGAGGTTATAACCCTCCCTAACTCTATCCAAAATGAAAAAAAAAGTTTTGCCTATAGTTCTACTTTAAGGATTTCTGCAATTTATCTCATGTAATTATGTCTGTATATACAGTGGGTAAAATAAGTATTGAACACATCACCATATTTCTCAGTAAATGTTTCTAAAGGTGCTATTGACATGAAATGTTCACCACATATTAGTAACAACCCATGCTATCCATACATACAAGGAAACCAAAACAAATAAGTTCAGAAATTAAGCTATGTGTAATAAAATGGAATGACACAGGGAAAAAGTATTGAACATGCTAACTGAAATTTATTTACCTGTAATACTTTGTACAAAATCCTTTGTTAGTGATGAAAGATGCCTCTTGTATGAAGAAACTAGTCATATGCTTTGCTCAGGTGTGATTTTGGCCATTCTTTCACACAAACAGTCTTCAAATCTTGAAGGTTCCGTGGGCCTCTTCTTTAGTTATTTCCAAAGATTTTCTATTGGATTCAAGTCAGGTGATTGGCTGGGCCATTCTCTTAGCGTTATTTTCTTTCTTTGAAACCAATTGAGTTTCCTTGGCTTTGTGTTTGAGATCATCGTCTTGCTGAACTGTCCACCCTCGTTTCCTCTTCATCATCCTGGTAGATGGCAGCACATTTTTTATCAGGAATGTCTTTTTTTCATTCATCTTTCCTTCAATGATACGCAGTTTGCCAGTACCGTATGCTGAAAAACATCCCCATACCATGTGCCTACTTTCAAACTTCACTGTTAATATGGTGTTTTTGGGGTGATGTGCAGTGCCATTGACCTCCAAACATGGTGTATATTATGGTATCCAAAGAGTTCAGTTTTGGCCTCATCCAACCAGACTATATTCTCCCAGCATTTCACAGGCTTGTCTAAATGCTGTGCAGCAAACGCGAGCTTCAACATGCTTTTTCTTCAGCAGTTGAGTCCTGCGTGGTGAGCGTGGATACAGGCCATGGCGGTTGAGTGCATTGCTTATTGTTTTCTTTGAAACAATTGTACCTTCTAATTCTAGGTCTTTCTGAAGCTCTCCACAAGTGGTCTTTGGCTCTTGGACAACTCTTTCACTCCCCTTTCAGAAAACTTGTGAGGAGCACTGGTTGTGGCCGGTTTATGGTGAAATGATGTTCTTTCCACTTCCAGATTATGGCCCCAACAGTGCTCACTGGAACATTATGAAGTTTAGAAATCCCTCTGTAACCAATGCCATCAGTATGTTTTGCAACAATAAGGTTGTGAAGGTCTTGAGAGAGCTCTTTGCTTTTACCCATCATGAGATGTTTCTTGTATGACACCTTGGTAATGAGACACCTTTTTTATAGGCTGTCATTGACAAGGGGCAGAATTGCTTTCTAATTACTGATAGATTTTAGCTGTTGTCTTGGCTTTCCATGCCTTTTTGCTCCTCCCTTTCTTCATGTGTTCGAAACTTTTTCCCTGTGTCATTTCATTTTCTTACACGTAACTTCTTAACTTAACGTCATACATTTCTGAACTTGTTTGTTTTGGTTTCTTTGGGTTGCATGAGTTGTTACTGACACGTGGTGAAATTGAATGTCAATAGCACCTTTAGAAATATATTTACAGAGAAAAATGGTGACGTGTTCAATACTTATTTTACCCGCTGTAAGTGTATATTCTGATGTTCACTTTTACGACTAAATAAATAAATTTTAAAATGAAAAAAATATCTATTAACTTATTTTGGTACTGGCACTGGTCAGTATTTGTTTTCTCTCTTCTCTTACTAGTAGCATCACAGTCTGTTTTAGTCTATTCCTACATGTCACATTGATGTTTATATTTTAGCCTGAGGGAGTCCAGCACGGCCTTGTGTCTGTCCCGTATCTTAGCCCTGTGGACAAGCTCAGCTCTAGACTCTCTACACACCTGTTCCAAGGATCTGCGAGAATGTCTCAATGGCAGCTCAAGTACCATGTGCAGCCTTCTAGAATATGTGTACGTAAACTGGGAACACCCCTTGGATGCTGTCCGACATCAAAACCAAGCAGATCTTCAGGAACATTCTCCAAATCCACCACAAAGCTGTGATCGTGATGTCCAATGGAGAAGTAGACTCGTTTCTTTGTCAGCTTACTCATAAATTACTGAGTCTGGAGTGGCACTCAAAGGGGAAGTATGCCTCACTGGCCTGTCTTGTGGAATGTGTTGGAACTGAACAGATCTTGTTTGTAGATCATATGATCCCAGAACAGATCCTGGATGTCATGTGGGACCAATCCTTTGCTCCGTATGCTGCTAACCTTTTGGAAGCCATGTTTGTCAACCACAAAAAGCAACTTCTGGCCAATGAAGAAAGCTGTTGGATTGAGCGCTGGCAAAGTGTCTGGGTCTTCCCTCTTCTCAGACGTCTCTGTGAAGAACACGTTACTCAGACTACATACATCATTGATTATTATTTGCCGAAGTTGCTGAAATGTAACCCTGAGAGTTTAACCTACATGATAGACCACCTACAGTCCTCTGCAGCCATCAGCGTGGGTAAGTTGTATTCTATGTGTTTTATTATTGTTAAAATAAAATAAATAAACCATCCATTGTGCGAGAGTGAACATGTCAGGACAGAAATATAGATCAATAGGTTCACTTTAAAGCACACTCATATATTTACTTTCCTGCATTTCCCTGACACCATTCAGCCACTATTAGTAAAAGAAAAGCCTTGGCTATGAGGGGCTGGAGTAGAGGTTTTTGTAGGTTTGTTGGCATCCTTGTGACAATTCTGATAAGCGTAATGCCGACAAAGGGAGAGAGTTGCATTCTCCCCATACTCTCCTCTATGCTGCAGCATCCATGTGATGCTGCAGCTGTCCCACTTCGGCTCTAAAAGCAAGAACTGAGCGATCGCATGACCGCTGATCTCTCAGTTTTCCATTTGCTCCGAGCAGAGAACAGTGACTGTCCACTGCATTCTACTCCTCCAGTGCTCACCGGAGCAGAGCACTGGGCCAGGAAAGGGATGGGCTTAGCTGGCTCTGGCTCTCAGCAATGTGCTTGAGGGGTGGGCCAGCTGTCAATCAGGCAGTCTGTTGGATCTCGACAATATTTCCGTGATCTTTCTAGAGCCAGGCAATTTTCTGCCTCATCAGCTGATAGCGGGCAATAAAAGGGGAAGAGACGCAACCAGGTAGACAAAACTAAAACAACACAAACCATAGATGCAAGGTCATGTTATATGAAAAAGTTCCATATAGTCCGTTCACTAGGGCAAGCTTAATCCAATAAGCAGACTCTGTATGTAATATCCAACAGAAAAGAATAAATGGGAAAACCCCTCTAAGTTCTGACTTTTGGTGTTTTAATGAATTATAAGAATGCCAAATGGTCTGACTCACATAGTGATAAAAAAGACAAGCTCATCACAAAAGAGATGTACAGGATGCCAGAGATGATGTCCACCACAGTAATGCCGGGGTCTACTGCCACAAAAGGAGATGTGTAAGGAAGTCAGCCTGAATCCTCCAAAATGGTGCTGGAATGCAGTGTGGCCTTCAGTGTCTGCGGGATAATGTCACCAGGACTGGTCAGAACACCGACACGTTTCAGAGCATGCTCCGTTCTGACTATAGGCATGCATGCTCCTTCATCAAGCTAAAGAGACCTAAGGGATGAGCCTCTTTTATATAGACTTTCTGACATGGGACAACGCCCAGCAAGAACCAAAAAACTACATAATATGGTGTAAACACAAATAAAAATCCAAATGTAATTATCAATGCTAAAAAACTCTTAGAAGATCAGAAAAGAATAATGAATAAATTACAAGAAAATATATATACACTACATTTCATATACAAATAAAAAAAATGGAAATAGTTCATCGAAAAAAAAAGTGATGTAAAAAAATGAGACAAAGATAAATCATTTCAGAACTTTTTCCACCTTTAATGTGACCTATAAACTGTACAGTTTAATTGAAAAACAAACTTAAATCTTTTACGGGTGGGGGGGGGTGGGAGAGTAAACCTAAAAAAAAAAAAAAAATGTGGTTGCATAAGTGTGCACACCCTCTTATAACTGGAGATGCAGCTGTGTTCAGAATTAAGCAATCACATTCAAAATCATGTTAAATAGGAGTCAGTACACACCTGCCATCATTTAAAGTGCTTCTGATTAACCCCAAATAAAGTTCAGCTGTTGTAGTAGGTCATTCCGGACATTTTCTTAATCACATCTTACAGCAAACTATATAAATAAGTGTAGCGCTTAATCATAAATGAAACAATACCATAATATAATAAGACTATAAGAATAATAATAATAAATGTGATCCGTGCTGTGATCTTCTCAGTGCTCTTATAACAATACTAGCACTTAAGCATAAACAAAACCATCAATAATAAGATATATAATAATAACAAATGTGACAAGTACTGTGATCTTCTCAGTGCTCTAGTACCACTGAGTTGAAAATGAGACCATAAATCAGAAATTAATATTATTTAGTGATAGTGACACTTCAAACAATAAATAAATCAATAAATAGCAAGTGACGGTGCCACTTCAACTTCATTCAATGTCCAATATTCCTATTGACATCCATCTATTTAAAGTGTTCTTTATAGCCATGCATAGTGTGTGTAGATAGTGCCACTCGTGAACCAACACACTCCTTATCCACTTCGGCTGCAGCCGATGAAATACCACCGAAAGAAAGCTCTGTAGGAAGCTGGAAGTGTCTTCATAGGATACAATGCTTCTCCTCTGCAACCCACGGGCAGGTCAGGTTTCCTTGGTGGTGGAAGCATCATGCTTTGGGGCTGTTTTTCTTCAGCTGGAACTGTGGCTTTAATCAAGGTAGAGGGAATTAAGATCCTCTGCAATCCTGACCTGCCCGTGGGTTGCAGAGGAGAAGCATTGTATCCTATGAAGACACTTCCAGCTTCCTACAGAGCTTTCTTTCGGTGGTATTTCATCGGCTGCAGCCGAAGTGGATAAGGAGTGTGTTGGTTCACGAGTGGCACTATCTACACACACTATGCATGGCTATAAAGAACACTTTAAATAGATGGATGTCAATAGGAATATTGGACATTGAATGAAGTTGAAGTGGCACCGTCACTTGCTATTTATTGATTTATTTATTGTTTGAAGTGTCACTATCACTAAATAATATTAATTTCTGATTTATGGTCTCATTTTCAACTCAGTGGTACTAGAGCACTGAGAAGATCACAGTACTTGTCACATTTGTTATTATTATATATCTTATTATTGATGGTTTTGTTTATGCTTAAGTGCTAGTATTGTTATAAGAGCACTGAGAAGATCACAGCACGGATCACATTTATTATTATTATTCTTATAGTCTTATTATATTATGGTATTGGTTTCATTTATGATTAAGCGCTACACTTATTTATATAGATTATTCACACTAATTAGGGTATTGGTTTGAGTGTCAGCTGCTTATAAACTAGGAGGGGGAGAGTCCATAGAAGCGCAGGAGGATTCCTAATCAACATCTTACAGCAAAAGCCATGGTCCGCAGAGAGCTTCCAAAGCATCAGAAGGATCTCATTGTTAAAAGGTATCAGTCAGAAGAAGGGTAGAAAAGAAATTCCAAGGCATTAGATATACTATGGAACACAGTGAAGACAGTCCTCATCAAATAGAGAAAATATGGCCCAACAGTGACATTACCAAGAACTGGACGTCCCTCCAAAATTGTTGAAAAGATGAAAAGAAAACTGGTCTGGGAGGCTGCCAAGAGGCCTACAGCAACATTAAAGGAGCTGCAGGAATATTATTATTATTATAATACAGGATTTATATAGTGCCAACAGTTTGCGTAGCGCTTTACAAAATGAAGGTAGACATAATTACAATACAAGTTGGTACAAGAGGAAACAGAGGGCCCTGCTGATTAGGGATATCTGGCAAGTACTAGCTGTGTGGTACATGTGATAATCTCCCGTATTCTTCATATGTCTGGGCTATGGGGTAGAGTGGCAAGACGGAAGCCTTTTCTTACAAAGAAAAACATTCAAGCCTGGCTAAATTTTGCAAAAACACATTTGAGGTCTCCCAAAAGCATGTGGGGAAATATGTTATGGTCTGATGAAACCAAGGTTGAACTTTTTGGCCATAATTCCAAAAGATATGTTTGGCGCAAAAACCACACTGCACATCACCAAAAGAACACAATACCCACAGTGAAGCATGGTGGTGGAAGCATCATGCTTTGGGGCTGTTTTTCTTCAGCTGGAACTGTGGCTTTAATCAAGGTAGATGGAATTAAGAACATTTCAAAATACCAGTCAATATTGGCACAAAACCTTCAGGCTTCTGCTGGAAAGCTGAACATGAAGAGAAACTTCATCTTTCAGCATGACAACGACCCAAAGCATACATCCAAATCAACAAAGGAATGGCTTCAGCAGAAGAAGATGAAAGTTTTGGAATGGCCCAGCCAGAGCCGAGACCTGAATCTGATCGAAAATCTGAAGAGGGCTGTGCACATTAGATGCCCTCGCAATCTGACAGATTTGGAGTGTTTTTGCAAGGAAGAGCGGGCAAAATATTGCCAAGTCAAGATGTGCCATGCTGATAAACTCATATCCAAGAAGACTGAGTGCTGGAAGCAAATCAAAAGGTGCTTCAACAAAGTATTAGTTTAAAGGTGTGCACACTTATGCAACCATATTATTTTAGTTTTTTATTTTTACTTCCCTCCACCTAAAAGATTTTAGTTTGTTGTTCAACTGAGTTGTGCAGTTTATAGCTCCCATTAAAGGTGGAAAAAGTTTTGAAATGATTTATCTTTGTCTAATTTTTTTTACATCACAGAAACCTGACATTTTAACAGGGGCGTGTAGACTTTTTATATGCACTGTATGTGTCTTGTGAAGTGTACTTAGTATTGACGTATGGATTAAGTCTAATTGCAGTATTCTATTATAAAGTAAAAAAGGTACCTGCAAGTAATGGTATAAAAAAAGTATTAATTTCATGTAAGGAAAAATGAATAAGAAGTTATATACTCTAATAAAGAAAAGTTGTGTCAGAGGGGAGCTTAAAGGATGGTGGCCACCTCTAATTCCTCATTGAGGCCACCAGAAGAGAGGGTTTCGAGGCAATAGATCCAGAAAGTGTCTCTCTGGCAGAGCTTATGAAAACGTCCCGCCTCGGGGAGACTCCTAGACATGCTCTTGATGACCCACACCCACAATCCATAGGTAGAAAAAGTGGCTCGGTACATTATGTTTTATCTTTTCCATCCTCAATGGCCTGATGGTGTGACCAACAAATAATGTTAATTAAGAGCAGGGTGGATTTGATTTAAATCAAACTGATTTAAATCACGATTTAAATCACTAGTCAGTAAGGCTTGATTTAAATCCTAGTTTTCTACATAAAGACTAATTCTTGCTGGTATAACTTTAATATGCAAGTAGATGAAGATTTTTAGAATAACAACTTTTCATATTAGTTTTTTTATCCCCAGTTTAATAGGTTAATCATTCATATTTGGACAACTTTTCTGTTGTATTTAGGAAGGAGAAAAAAAATCATTACTGTATTTTTCCGGTGTATAAGACGACTTTTTACCCCTTGAAAATCTTCTCAAAAGTCGGGGGTCGTCTTATACGCCGGTAACGGCATGCTGACACTTTTTAGGGGGGGCGGCGCGGTGCCGCCACCGCCCCCCCCCCCCCTTCCAACAGAAGGGACACTAAGTACAGGGGTGGGCAGGGGCTGCTGTCTCTTACCTGGCTCCGGTCCCACGACGATCCGGTCCAGGAAGCGCAGCTGCTCCTTCCTTCGGTTCGTCCACTGGATGTTCGCGCTGCTGCTCGGCTCCGCCTCCTCACCCGGTGATTGGTCGCCAGAACTGTAGCTCAGGAAAGGCACACAGGCGGCCAATCACTGGCGAGGAGGCGGAGCTGAGCGGCCCCGCGAAAATCGAGTGGAGATGCAGGTAAGTGTGCCGTGCTTATGTGCTGCTGCAACCACATATGCTGGCTGCAGCAGCACCGTACTAAAACAGGGATCAGCAAGTGTCAGTGGGAGGAATAGTGCCCCATCATTGGTGTCACTGACACCAACGATGGGGCACTTTTCCTCCCCCCCACTGACACCAACGATGGGGCACTATTCCTCCCCCCCCCCCACTGACACCAATGATGGGGCACTATTCCTCCCCCCCACTGACACCAACGATGGGGCACTATTCCACCCCCCACTGACAACAATGATGGGGCACTATTCCACCCCCCACTGACACCAATAATGGGATACTTTTCCTCCCCCCCCACTGACACCAACGATGGGGCACTATTCCTCCCCCCCCCACTGACACCAATGATGGGTACTATTCCTCCCACTGACACCAAAGATGGAGCACTATTCCACTGACACCAATGATGGGGTGCTATTCCCCCCAATGATACTAATGATGGGGCACTATTCCTCCCACTGATACCAATGATGGGACACTATTCCTCCCACTGACACACCAATGATGGGACACTATTCCTCCCACTGATACCAATGATGGGGCACTATTCCTGCCACTGACACCAATGATGGGGCACTATTCCTTCCACTGACAACAATGATGGGGCACTATTCCTTCCACTGACAACAATGATGGGGCACTATTCCTGCCACTGATACTAATGATGGGCGCTATTCCTGCCACTGATACTAATGATAGGGCACTATTCCTGCCACTGATACCAATGATGGGGCACTTTTCCTCCCACTGACACCAATGATGGGGCACTATTCCTCCCACTGATACCAATGATGGGGCACTATTCCTCCCACTAATACCAATGATGGGGCACTATTCCTCCCACTGACACCACGATTCTTCCCACTGGTGTGCATTGGAAGAGGGGTAGTCTTATACGGCGAGTATAGCCCAAACACTACATTTTAAACAGGAAAAGTAGGGGGTCGTCTTATACGCCCAGTCGTCTTATACGCCGGAAAATACGGTACCTTAATAATAACAATTTAAATAGATTTATTCAACTGAAACAATAACATTCCAGCATATGTTATTTGCTTAAACAAACATCCATGTTTGTTAACTAATTTTGGCTAAACAAAATCTATATATTTTAAGAAACGTAGACTGTCAGCCCCTTCCTCCTCACACTTAGTTTCACTTTCTTCTTGTGCAGATCTATTCCACTCCAAACAATCAGAAAAATATTGTTTCTATTCTATTCACTGAACTTCTTGAAACTTAGCACTGAAGGGGTTGATTCTGTATTCATAGGTTTGTAGAAGTTAGGATTAAGGTCTTTTTCTTAACTCTGTTCACGTTATAAACATTTTTGCTGTGAAGAAGAGGCATGTGATCTCCGCTGAGTCAAATTCAGTTTTGAGAACTGCAAAAGTAAACCAATCATCTGTGATAATATCTTGTAGGCAGAGAAAAATAATCTTACAAAAACCTCTGGAATGTTGGTTATGTGTTAGAGAAGACACTGGTAGCGATGAGGCAGAACACTGACTTTACTTGTGTGGCTTAAGTTGCAAACATACAAAGCATTTCAGCAGACATCTTGCTTCATGAAGAGAGGAGGAAGAGGAAGAGAGTGAAAACCAACAAGTTTTACACATATGCACAACTAGTAACCTTAGTGTACAGTGCCATCTACTGGTCAAGTGATATTAACACACAATACTATATAGTTCATGCTGTTGTATCTCCAACATGGAAGAGCATGACATTGTGAATGGATTCATGGAATTTATTTGCCAAAAAAATTAAACATATACAGCCTTATTCTACATAATTAAAAAACTAATCTTTATTTCATGATGGAATAACCTTTGGATGGTAATATATTTTCCTCAAAAAGCATTTTATTTAAAAAAATCCGTTTTTTTTTTTTTTTTTTTTTAAATCATTGATTTTTATCCACCCTGACTAAGAGTATACAACATATTCTGATGAGCACTTATAAAAATCGATTGTGTATGTTTTACCTTTGGCAACAAACTCTGTTTGTCCATACTGGACAAAAGAGCAAATGCTTTTACAGAAAAGCCAAAGTAAGTGTTTTCTTGTGACCCAAAAGAAAGGTATGGCAAAAAAATGTTTTTGTTCTCGTTTTTGCATACCTTTTTAAAGCCTTTCACCTTTAAATAAAATCTCTCCAGTGTCGCCTCCTATATTTCTTTTTCAGCTAGTGCACTTCAAGAGCTTTTTCCCTCCAGATACATGTGTTAACAGTGTGCATTTGACATGCAGTGTGAAGGCCCCCATTCATTTACCTTGCACCGGAAAGTAAAGCAAAATGCATGAAAATGTACTGTACATTGTTTATTAGTTCTCTGTAATTCGACTGTATGCATGCATATTGGCATGAAAGAATAATTCTATGTGACCCCTGGGGTCATTCATCTGAAGGTAGCAGAATTATTCCCATTCAGATAATTGAACTGTATTGTTTGTGGTGTCATCTTGGATTCATGTTGAAGTAAATATGAGCCTTGTTCTGCCAATAAAATACTGAACAGTCTTTAAATAGAGTGATTAATAAAAATGTATTTACATTTGTTTAAAACTTGTAGGTTCTGTCAGTAACCGAGGGGCTCTGGGAGCTCTTATGGCGTGTCTGAGGACAGCTCGGGCGCATGGACATCTTCGATTTACAGAAAATTACGCCTGGAATGGTCGGGTCTCCACTGGTTTGATAGAACAAGGCCTTGTCCATAGGCATGATCAGGTGAGGAACCCTGAATAGTTTATTCGTACTGCTTGCTATGAGTAGAGTTTTCTGACATTTATTAATAAAATTGCAACTTTCCCCATAAAACAAGGTTCCCAAGTGTTACAAAAGGGCAGATTTCTTTTCAGTTATTTTTATTTTTTAATGAAGATTTTTTTTTTTTTTCAAACCGATCTTCATGTATTAATGAACTTTAAATGGTTTGTTTGGACCAAGCTGTCAGCTGTGGCTCCCTGTTACCAACTCGACTTGCCCCTGAACCTGTCTTCTGCCTGCCTCCTGGTTTGACCCCCGCTTGCTTAATGGACTTGCTCACTCTGTTCTTGACTCTGGTTATGCTCCTGACTATGCTTAGGGCCAGTTCACATTGACTTGTGAACATTTTCATCCATTTTAGTTGCATTTTAATGCGTGCTGATATCCATTGACATCCATTTTGCATTTTAGCGCAGCTCAACGTTATGGTGTGAATAGGACACATTGGAAATATTGTTTTTCAGATGTCCTTTCGTTAATCTGCGTTTTACTGCTGCGCTAAAACACACTGGTGTGAATTGGTTTTTATTTACACCACATCCAGTACTTGACCCTGGCTTTGAACTGGCTTCTTTTCTGACTTCTGCTCTGCCTGAGACCCGCTACTTGCCATGGGCACCACCTGTCTGCAGTCACTGCCTCAGCCCAGTACCTGGACGTCTCATCAGACAGCATCCCAGTTGGAACTTCCCTGCAAATAGTTCCAGTAGGCGATCCATGCTTCTTTGACATCTCCTAATATCACCTGCAGGGGTGTCTGGAGCTTAGTTGCAAGGGAAGCCCTATCACCATTGGCCTCCAACACCAGGTAGGTGATATACATACAGTTTACTGCGCTGTGTTTCAGAAGTGGTATGGGGTCTGCTCCTGGAACAACATTGAACACAGCGCAGCCATTCACAGGAAGTTCCGTATTCTATGAATAAATACAAAGCTTTCTGTAATTGGCAAAGGGGGAGACTGTAACATCATCTGCCCACCTTTCCGCTTCAGCCTGCCAGATGGCTTTATATTCAGAAACTACAAAGCGTCCTGTAAATGGCTGAGCAGCGCTCATCCTGACTCGATTTTGTTCCAGGAATGGGATGGGAAATCCCCATCCTGCTGCTGGAACACAGCACTGTATCCTGTATGAAGCTGATGGCACGTACAGTTTTTAAAGCGCACGCACACATCCGCTGCAACTCTTGGTGAAGTATATAGTTTGTTTGGACCAGCTTGGTCCAAACTATTTAAACTTTGCTATAACATGGAGATCAGCTTTAGATTTGGTGGCTAAAAGTTTATTCATTTGGGTACGGTATTGCACAACAGCATACTTGTCAGTCAGACTGTCACAACATGGAAAAAGGGCCCGGTAAAGGGTCACTTCACCTTTTAAGAAAAAGAGGGGAAATAACACAATACCCCCCCCCCCCCCCCCTCACCTTTTCAGAAAAAAAGAAAAGGGGAGATAACACAATACCCCCCCCCCCCTCACCTTTTCAGAAAAAAAGAAAAGGTGAGATAACACAATACCCCCCCCCCCCTCACCTTTTCAGAAAAAAAGAAAAGGTGAGATAACACAATACCCCCTCCTCACCTTTTCAGAAAAAAGAAAGGGGGAGATAACACAATACCCCCCCCCCTCACCTTTTCAGAAAAAAAGAAAAAGGTGAGATAACACAATACCCCCCCCCCCTCACCTTTTCAGAAAAAAAGAAAAGGGGAGATAACACAATACCCCCCCCCCTCACCTTTTCAGAAAAAAAGAAAAGGTGAAATAGCACAATACCCCCCCTCACCTTTTCAGAAAAAAAGAAAAGGTGAGATAACACAATCACCCCCCCTCACCTTTTCAGAAAAAAAGAAAAGGTGAGATAACACACAATACCCCCCCCCCCCCTCCCTCACCCTTTTCAGAAAAAAAGAAAAGGTGAAATAACACAATACCCCCCCCCCCCTCACCTTTTCAGAAAAAAAGAAAAGGTGAAATAACACACAATACCCCCCCCCCTCACCTTTTCAGAAAAAAAGAAAAGGTGAAATAACACAATACCCCCCCCCCCCACCTTTTCAGAAAAAAAGAAAAGGTGAGATAACACAATACCCCCTCCCACCTTTTCAGAAAAAAAGAAAAGGGGAGATAACACAATACCCCCCCCCCCCCCTCACCTTTTCAGAAAAAAAGAAAAGGTGAAATAGCACAATACCCCCCCTCACCTTTTCAGAAAAAAAGAAAAGGTGAGATAACACAATACCCCCCCTCACCTTTTCAGAAAAAAAGAAAAGGTGAGATAACACAATACCCCCCCCCTCACCTTTTCAGAAAAAAAGAAAAGGTGAAATAACACAATACCCCCCCCCCCCCTCACCTTTTCAGAAAAAAAGAGGTGAAATAACACAATACCCCCCCCCCCCTCACCTTTTCAGAAAAAAAGAGGTGAAATAACACAATACCCCCCCCCCCCCCCCCACCTTTTCAGAAAAAAAGAAAAGGTGAAATACTGTAACACAATACCCCCCCAAGTCCTTGCTGTACTAAGCCATGGGTGATGACCTGTCAGTGCCCACACAGCCGATGCAGTGGTCAAAGGATTTGAAATCCCCCCGCCTTTCTGTCTTCTGTCTTTTTCTGCAGCATTTCTTGGATGGATCAGAGCGAAGCTGTGTGCTGGTGCTGACCAACTGATCTGTCCCAGAAGCCCTTCAGAAGGAAGAGGGGGGATTTAAAATCCCGGGCTGCTACACCAGCTGCGTGGGTACTGACATCTCATCACCCACGGAGATAAATACAATGGGGACTGGGGGGGGGGGTTGGGTGGACTTTGGGGGGTGCCTGTACGATGTTAGTTCACCTTTTCATGTTTTCTGAAAAGGTGCATGTTAACCACCATCCTGCTGGCTGCACACATACAGTCAGGTCCATAAATATTGGGACATCAACACAATTCTAACATTTTTGGCTCTATACACCACCACAATGGATTTGAAACGAAACGAGCAAGATGTGCTTTAACTGCAGACTGTCAGCTTTAATTTGAGGGTATTTACATCCAAATCAGGTGAACGGTGTAGGAATTACAACAGTTTGCATATGTGCCTCTCACTTTTAAGGGACCAAAAGTAATGGGACAATTGGCTTCTCAGCTGTTCCATGGCCAGGTGTGTGTTATTCCCTCATTATCCCAATTACAATGAGCAGATAAAAGGTCCAGAGTTCATTTCAAGTGTGCTATTTGCATTTGGAATCTGTTTCTGTCAACTCCCAAGATGAGATCCAAAGAGCTGTCACTATCAGTGAAGCAAGCCATCATTAGGCTGAAAAAACAAAACAAACCCATCAGAGAGATAGCAAAAACATTAGGCGTGGCCAAAACAACTGTTTGGAACATTCTTAAAAACAAGGAACGCACCGCTGAGCTCAGCAACACCAAAAGACCCGGAAGACCACGGAAAACAACTGTGGTGGATGACCAAAGAATTTTTTCCCTGGTGAAGAAAACACCGTTCACAACAGTTGGCCAGATCAAGAAACCATTGGTGAGCCTCAAAAACAGGAAGGCCAGATTAGAGTTTGCCAAACGACATCTAAAAAAGCCTTCACAGTTCTGGAACAACATCCTATGGACAGATGAGACCAAGATCAACTTGTACCAGAGTGATGGGAAGAGAAGAGTATGGAGAAGGAAAGGAACTGCTCATGATCCTAAGCATACCACCCTCATCAGTGAAGCATGGTGGTGGTAGTGTCATGGCGTGGGCATGTATGGCTGCCAATGGAACTGGTTCTCTTGTATTTATTGAATGATGTGACTGCTGACAGAAGCAGCCGGATGGATTGTGAAGTGTTTTTCAGGCAATATTATCTGCTCATATTCAGCCAAATGCTTCACAACTCATTGGACGCTGCTTCACAGTGCAGATGGACAATGACCCAAAGCAGACTGCAAAAAGCAACCAAAGAGTTTTTAAGGGAAAGAAGTGGAATGTTATGCAATGGCCAAGTCCAATCACCTGACCTGAATCCGATTGAGCATTTCACTTGCTGAAGACAAAACTGAAGGGAAAATGCCCCAAGAACAAGCAGGAACTGAAGACAGTTGCAGTAGAGGCCTGGCAGAGCATCACCAGGGATGAAACCCAGCGTCTGGTGATGTCTATGCGTTCCACACTTCAGGCTGTAATTGACTGCAAAGGATTTGCAACCAAGTATTAAAAAGTAAAAGTTTGATTTATGATTATTATTCTGTCCCATTACTTTTTGGTCCCTTAATAAGTGGGAGGCACATATGCAAACTGTTGTAATTCCTACACCGTTCACACTGATTTGGAATGTAAATACCCTCAAATTAAAGCTGACAGTCTGCAGTTAAAGAACATCTTGTTCGTTTAATTTCAAATCCATTGTGGTGGTGTATAGAGCCAAAAATGTTAGAATTGTGTCCATGTCCCAATATTTATGGACCTGACTGTATATATGTTTTCTCGGAGGGTGTGCTTTAACGTCATGCGACGGCATATATGCGTCTATATTGTTTACTGTGCTAACAGCGCATTCCCAGTAAAGAGCTTTTGATCATGTGACCGCTGTGACAACCAATGTCTACTACTCAGCCTGTTGATGTCCATTCAACAAGCCAATATGTTGTGGCTTTTTTTTTTAGCCTTTCTGGTCAGCGGAGGAACATGTTCCCATGCTTTGAAAGAACTCCCTAGTTGCTTGCAATCTATATAAATCACAGAGATCCTCTTTTGGGAAAAAAAACAAAAACAAAAAAAAAATATAGCCTAATTTGTGTAAATGGAAACTCCTGCCAGCTTTGGCAGTTGTAACCAAAGAATGATATGTGTTGAAGGGAGAGATTATTCGCACCAAAGGCTGCATTGCAATATTGTCCAGATGACACATTATCTGTCCGAGTCAGTAGACAGCGGCTTTTAGTCTTTAGAATGGAATGGAACCAGCTGGATATAGATTCAAAGTGTTCATAGTTGCAGAACTGAGATCAAATGTGGGCGAAGTGAAAACACTGAGTGGGCAGTTTTGCTTCCGTAACCTTTTTGCTCTGAATGTTTTCCATACAAGTTGTGTTTGGCCAGGATTAGCACACTGGATTCACTGCCTGCTTCCAGAAGAAGGCTGCTCTACAAGCAAGGATTAATGAGCACCTGTCATTAATACACAGTAAAGGCAACCATTTTGTTACCAGGAAGCAAGCAATACTCGGCCTATTGATTCACTAGGGACTAGTAGCATGTTGACATTAAAGCTGAACTCCAGACAAACAGAAAAATTACATATAAGGTAGGTGTTTTACCTTACAAAGGATTTGTATGCAGTCCTGAGATTTATTACTTCCCAGCCAAACAAGCCGGACAGGGGAGGGCATCTTTGTTAGCACATGAGCACTGCAATACAACCGATTGCTTCATTTTGCAGCCCCTCCCTGTCCCAGTTTGAGCTCTGCTTATGGGCTCGTTCACATATGAGGGTGGAGGAAGTAAAACCCAACAGCTGAGCTTTTTACCGCCCCCCCCAACCGCTACCCCCCTTTAGCTGGAGAGGCTGGGGGTATTTACATGCTGTGGCAGGAATTATACCCATGTCGCTTTCAAAGCGAATGGGGCTGCAGTGCACATATTTGTGGCGCACTAATGCTGTGGCTACGGGATTAAAGCAGGTGGTAAAGAGACGACATGACACTTCATTGCTGGTCAAATGCTCTCAGGTTTAAAACTGAAAACTGCTGTGATCCCGAGTGGATGGTAGACTTTAAAGTGGAACTTTGCCCATAACAAGGTGATAAAAATGATGTTCAATAGTAAGGAACATACATTCCACATTAAAGTAGAACTATAGGCAAAACTTTTTTTTGGTTCATTCGGATGGAGCAAGGGAGGGTTATAATCCCTGTCAGGTTTTTTTTTTCTCCATCTGTGTCCCATTTCTTAGATTTCCCTTCACTTCCTGTCCCTCAGCAAAACAGAAGTGAAAGGAAATCCCTGCAAATTAAGGGAATTCCTTGGGGACCCTTGGGGTGGGATTTTTTTTTATACTTTAATGATGATGGTAAACAAGGCTAATAGGGTGAATCTCCGGGGGCATAGACAGCAATAAAAACTGACAGGGGTTCTAATCCTCTCCACTTTGTCAAGAAAAAAAAAGTGTTGCCTATAGTCAGGGGCTTAAAATTTCAAGTCCTGAGCTACTAGCCAGGCCTTAGAGTTACTCGCCACCAACAAACAACACACAGAGACACCTGTACACACACAAACATACCTGTACACACACACAGACATGTATATACACACACAGACATGTACACACACACACACACGTACAGACACACATGTATATACACACAGGCACGTACAGACACGCATACACACACAGATACATGTGCATACACAGAAATACACATCTTCCCTCTCTCCCCCCTCTTCCCTCTCTCTCTACCCTCTTCCCTCTCTCTCTACCCTCTCTTCTCCCTCTCTCTCTACCCTCTTCCCTCTCTCTCTCTCTCCCTCTTCCCCTCTCTCTCTACCCTCTCCCCTCTCTCTCCCATTTTCCCTCTCTCTCTCTCTCCCATTTTCCCTCTCCCCTCTTCCCTCTCTCTCCCCTCTCCTCCCCCCCCTCTCCCCTCTCTCCCTCTCTCTTCCCTCTCTCTCCCTCTCTCTCTCTCCCTCTTCCTTCTCTCTCCCCTCTTCCCTCTCTCTCCCCTCTCCCCCCTCTCTCTACCCTCTCTCCCCTCTTCCCTCTCCCCCCCTCTCTCTCCCCCCTTCCCCCCCTCTCCTCTCCCCTCTTCCCTCTCTCTCCCCTCTCCCCCCCCCCCCCTCTCTCTCTCCCCTCTTCCCTTCCCCTCCCTCCCCCCCTTCCCCCCTCTCTCTCCTCCCCTCTCCCCGCTCTCTCTCCCCTCTTCCCCCCCTCTCTCTCCCTCTCCCCCGCATCTCTCTCTCCCCTCTTCCCCCCTCTCTCTCCCCCTCTTCCCCCCCTCTCTCTCTCCCCCTCTTCCCCCCTCTCTCCCCCCTCTCTCTCCCCTCCCCCCCTCTCTCTCTCCCTCTTCCCCCCTCTCTCCCTCCCCTCTCCCCCCCCTCTCTCCCTCCCCTCCCCCCTCTCTCTCCCCACCCTCTTCCCCCCTCTCTCTCCCTCCCCTCTTCCCCCCTCTCTCTCTTCCCTCTTCCCCCCTCTCTCTTCTCCCCCTCTTCCCCCCCTCTTCCCCCCCTCTCTCTCTCCCCTCTTCCCCCCCCTCTCTCTCACTCTTCCCCCCCCTCTCTCTCCCCTCTTCCCCCCTCTCTCCCCTCTCCCCCCTCTCCTCCCCTCTTCCCCCCCCTCTCTCATCTCCTCTTCTACCCTCTTCTCCTCTCTCTCCCCCCCCTCTCTCCCCCCCCCTCTCCTGTCTCTCTTTACCCCTTCTCTCGCTCTTCCTTTTTCACATTGTATGGGGCTGCACACAAACACCTTTTCCAAGGGCTGCTGATCTCCGGGCAGCAGGAAGGGGGGGGGGGGGGGTTGCAGTCCCATACGATATGTCAGTGTAGGGAGGGAGGCAGGGAGATCCCACAGAATACTGCACAGCTCACCTGCTCCGGGCTTATTTCTCTCCGACACTTCTCCACTCCCTGCTCCATACTGTCCCCTGGTCCCGGCTCGTCAGCTGCTGGAGGGAGAGGTAAAGGAGCATCGCTCTGCAACTGCCCCTGCCCCTCCCCTCCCCCGCATCGATTCTCCTGCTGTCCGGGCCACTGCAAGGGTACTGGTGCGACCCCTCTGCTGGCGGCCCTGCATGGCTCTGTCTGCTGCTGCCCAAAAGGTCCCTTCTTCCGGGGAGCGGTGCCTCGCAGTAGATATGCCCTTGTCCTGGGGGACACACTCGCCCCCCACCATAATTTCCACTCACCATTGGCGAGCAGGCGAGTGGAGATTTCAATCCCTGCTATAGTTATACTTTATTAATTATTCTACCAAAATTTGTGTGTGCTGTAAATTGCCTCTAGCATTGTTCCTGTTTCTTCTTACCAGAGGCTGCCATTTTGCTGAAGCTCAGAGCCTCTGACCAGTATTAAATCTTTGGGCTGTCAGCACATCGGCCTCTGAATTTAAGCACAGCGCCAAAAAAATAGAGAGCAACTGAGCATGTGCAGAGCAGGGTGAGACAGTGTATTACTGGATTTTAAACAGTATAGGCTCTTATTTGTTATGTTTTACATAGCTATGCCTGCAAAAGGGACCAGCCTGAAGTGATCTAGCAGGACTTTATATCATTAAAGTGGTACTTTAGTCAGAGAATTAAGTGGTAAAAATTCTGCAGCGCTGCGAAGTGTAAGTTACAATGGTTAAAATTCCAGTATAGTAATGATATGTTTCCACTTGCAGATCCGAATGGATGCCCTCGGTCTCCTCTGTGAGAGTCACTGGAGCACCGAAGTGGTTTCTGTGGATGAAATCGATCTGGTTCGCTTCTTTCTGCGATATAACTTGAATTGTCAGTCTCCATCTGTGAGGCAGCAGATGTGCTACCTAATCAAGAAGGTAAATATTGTCTGTCCGCAAGCCAGCATTCTCGTCATTGGGACAGGGAACACATGGCAATAGTAAAGGAAACCTGTTCTGTAAAGGGATTCTCTGTGACTTCATTGCGGCTTGCTGCCACTCAGTGCGACTTCATTAACATGTCAATGCAAGTCGCAATGAAAAATAGTGCAGGAATGTTTTTCAAAGCTGCCGTGGCTTGAGTCGCAACAATTACAACAGGGCTTTGCTGGTAATGGGATGCAACTTGCCATGCGACTTGAACCCACAAGTCGCACTGGACTGAACCGGGGTTTAGTGAAAATACATATTTAATAAACTTACCCAAAAATCATATGATATAAAAAATTGCAACTACCACCATTGTATTCTACAGGGTCTCTGCTCTCAGAAACAATCTAATGTTTTGGGGGTTGTAGGTAATTATAATACTTTTTAATTTAATATGTATGTGCGAAAATGAAAAAAAAAAAACTGCACAGCAGTGAAAGGATTAGGGGAAAAAGTATAAAATTGATCTCTTTTTTTTTCTCTTTGTGGACTAGCTCTTTTGCCGTGTACAAGAAAGTTCACAGGTTCTATATAAACATCAGCAGAGTAAAAACTTCAAAGTGTTCCAACAGACAGAAAATGAAGTGGATCCCTGCACAGCCCTAAGGCACTATACAGTAAGTTTTATTCCGAAATTCACAATATGGTACAATGGAACTCACAGATAACAATCAATAAAATAAAATATTCTGTATTGATTGTAGCAAACATTCAGCCTCTTCTATATTTATACCTGCAGCTTTAATTTCATTGAATGCTATAGGCAACCCAGTCACTGTTTTTTGTTTTTTTTTTTCTTTCTCGCATTTCATTCGTTTTAAAGGCCAGTTCACATATAAACGTGCATTAAAATGCATGAAAATACTCAAAAAATGGATGGGCATTGCTTATTTTTTATGTTCCTTGACATTATTGTGCGTTAAATTGATATGAATTATTGAAAGGGACAAAATAATAAAGAGCTTTTTTTTCCCCAATACATTTGCATTGTATTGATGTACATTTACATGCGTTGCATTCAAATGCATGTAGCATTTTAACGCAGTGCACTGCACTGCATGGCACATGACACCAGCGTTGAGGTGTGAACAGGACACATAGAAAACAATTGTTTGTCCTCGCAGTGAACTTTCGTTCTTGCAGTGCAGTAAAATGCAGTAATGCAGTACGTGTGACCAAGGCCTTATAGTCTTTATACAGTGCTCAGCATAAATGAGTACACCCCAACAGATTTGTTAGAAAACCTTTACTTTTCTTTCAGAATTAACATTTTCTATGGGATGCTATGCTACAAAATACTCCCACAAATGCGGTCCATTGATTGCAAACACGATTTGTTAATTTGCACACACAAAGTATATTTCTTAACAAAGTCATTCAAGATCATGTTGCAAAAATGAATACACCCCGATGAAAGTCTTAGGAGCAGAGCTAAATTTTGGACAACAAAATCCTAATTAACAAGAATTCAACTGCAGTTGAGTCTAATTATTTATTAAACAGGTGTCCAGCAGACAGTTGATTATAAAAGGAAGTTACTTAAAGCGGAGCTTCACCAAAAAGGGGAAGTTCTGCTTTAAGTCTCTATCCCCCACTCCCCATTCAGGATTGGCACCTTGGGTTGGAGCGGGTGCCCGAATTTGATAGGTACCCACTTCCGCTGCGATTGCCTAGGAGATCGGAAGTGGAAGTTGTCCTCCCCCTCCCCCTGTAGTCTTGTGGGACACGTGACAGGTCCCAGAAGACTACGGGGCCATTTACAAAGAACAGCACTTCTCGCGCATGTGCAGTGGGCACCCGCCTGTGAAGCCGCAAACTGTCTCAGCCAGGTGCCCACACTGAAGATGCCAGGGAGAGAAGAAGGCCAGTGAAACCAGCGGTAGTGAGGACACCGCTGGACCAAGAGACAGGTAAATGTCTGTATTTTAAAAGTCAGCAGCTACAGTTTTTGCATTACAGTGCGAGATTATGCAAATGTTGAATAATATATTATTAATTATTATTATACAGGATTTATATAGCGCCAACAGTTTGCTCAGCGCTTTACAATTTAAGGGGAGACAACACAGTTCAATACAAGAGGGATAGGAGGGCCCTGCTTTCCTCATGCTAGATTGTAAGCTCCGAGGAGCAGGGCCCTCCTATCCCTCTTGTATTGAACTGTATTGTCTCCCCTTAAATTGTAAAGCATAGAAATACATGTAATGCATCATAGAAATACATGCAAACGCGTCAAAATGCACTGCAACACACATCTCACCAACAATTGAAGAAGCAAAAAAAAAAAACTAAAGTGCTTAAAAGTACATGGAAACACAGTGTAAGCATGCATAAAATGTTTTGTGTGAATAGGCCCCTTAATATGTGGTGTTCAATATACAGTAATGTAGGATGCCTGAAAGCGCTTTTAAAAACTTGCATCTTTAAAAATGTTAGCAAAGACATTAGCCTCCAGATGTTTTGTTTTGGTCTCCGTAGTTTTGTGTAACTGTTTTATTTGTGTCTCTTTTATATATACTGATATAGCACAGTTTGTACTGTCAGAATTGGTTGGTAGATGGCGCTATACTTGTATATTAGAATGCATAGATGGCACTGCAGCTGTAACAATGAAAGAATAGTATGAGCTCATTGCTTGGTCTACGTTGTATAGTGTGTGCCATACTTAATATTTCCTGATGCCCAGCATTGTTCAGATTGTTGGCTGTGACCACATGTGGTTGTTATCCCATCTTGAATTTTATCATGAAGGATTACAGTTAGGATTTATAATAGTAAAAATAATAATAAACTCTTTTTTTATATAGCGCCTTTAAAGGTAGCGTCTCAAAGCACAGTTCAGTGAAAGTTTGTCTAAAGAAAAAAGTTTTTAGATTTGATTTGAATGAGTTTTGAGAAGATGACTTTGTGATGTTCCCTTGGAAGAGAATTCCAGAGTTTTGGAGTATAGTAGGAGAGCCTCTGTCTCCCATCAAGTGTAGGCGAGTAGGGGGGGATACACAGAAGAGACAAGAATTTGAGGAGTAGAGGTTATGATGGGGGTTAGTACTTAAAAGCTCAGACAGATAAATGGGGTGCCAAGCCCAAGAAGAGCCTTATAGGTGAGCAAGAAGATCTTAAAGCAGAGCCTCCTCCCCCAAAAGGGGAAGTTCCGCTTAAGTCTATGTTTCCCCCCCCCCCTTAAGGATTGGCACCTTTTCCCCCCACGCGGGGGGGGGGAAAGTGGGTATCCAAATTTGACATGGTAACATTTGTCAGGCCCCCCACCACCTACTTTGGGCGAAGTGACACTCGAGTCCTTCACACCACACATCGCTACAAGTGCCAGTGATCTATCCCACCGCCTGCTTTCGGGTCCTGGTCCAAGCTGCTGGCCCTGCTTCATTGTAACATAGAATTCAGCTGCTTGGCACAGGCACCTCATTCAGAGAAAGCTTTGTAAAAGGCTTCCACCCATTGATGACATAAATATCTTTCCATGCCAGAAAAGTAATTCCTCAGTATGGGACCAAGGATCCCCCGCCCTTCATAGGGGTCTTATACCTAGGTCCGTGCCCATTAACTATATAAGAGGGAGCTGAGAAACAACCTCTCCCTCCCTCTACGATGTGAAAGTACTTATTAGTAGAGATGAGCCTTTTTCGAATCGAACCATGCGACTGTAAGTCATGGGAATTCGTTTCGAATTTCCAGGAAAAATTCGATTCGCGGCGAATCCGAATATTAGCATACTTCGGGTGTGCGAATCGGATTTTTCCCGAATCAGCCGGCAAAAGTGTCCCCGCAGAGAGCTCCGCTATTTCTGACAGTTCTCTTGACAGTTCCTTCACATTTACCAGCGGTTGAAACATTGTATCTATTTGTTTCCATTTAGGATACAGATATGTTTTTATTCGGAAACAGATACAATGTTTCAACCGCTGTAAATGTGAAGGAACTGTCCAGAGAACTGTCAGAAATAGCGGAGCTCTCTGCAGATACACTTTTTGCTGTACTGGGATACAAGAAGAAGAAGAATGAAAAGAAGAAGAAGAATGAAAAGAAGAAGAGAATGAGAAGAAGAATGAAAAGAAGAAGAATGAAAAGAATAAGAATGAAAAAGAAAGAGCGAAAAGAATGAAAAGATTCTTCTTCTTCTTTTCATTCTTCTTTTCATTCTTCTCATTCTTCTTTTCATTCTTCTCATTCTACTTTTCATTCTTCTTTTCATTCTTCTTCTCATTTCTTCTTTTCAAATTCTTCTTCTTTTTCATTCTTCTCTTTCATTCTTCTCATTCTTCTTTTCTCTTCTTAATGAAAAAGAATGAAAAGAAGAATGAAAAGAAGAATGAAAAGAAGAAGAATGAAAGAAGAATGAAAATGAGAAGAAGAATGAAAAGAAGAAGAAGAATGAGAAGAATGAAAAGAAGAATGAAAAGAAGAATGTGAAGAAGAATCTGCTTTCAGAAGAATTTCGCTCTTCTTTTCATTCTTCTTCTTTTCATTCTCTTTTCAAAGAAGAATCTTTTCATTCTGAGAAGAAGAAATGATTCTTCTTCAGAATTCATTCTTTTTCTGAAAGGAGATTCTTCTTTTTCAGAAGGATGAAAAGAAGCGAGATCATTCTTCTTCTTTTCATTCTTCTTCTTCTTCTTCTTTTCATTCTTCTTCTTCTTTTCATTCTTCTTTTCATTCTTCTCATTCTTCTTTTCATTCTTCTCATTCTTCTTTTCATTCTTCTCAGAATTCTTTTCTTCTTCATGAAAAGAAGAAGAATGAAAAGAAGAATGAAAAGAAGAAGAAGAATGAGAAAGAAGAATGAAAAGAAGAATGAGAAGAATGAAAAGAAGAATAATGAAAAAGAAGAAGAAGAATGAAAAGAAGAAAAAAGAAGAAAAGAAGAAGAAGAATCTTTTCATTCCTTCTTCTCATTCTTCTTTTCATTCCTTCTTTTCATTCTTCTTCTTCTTTCTTTTCATTTCTCCTTCTTTTCATTCTTTTTCATTCTTCTCTTTTCATTCTTCTTCTCTTTTTCATTCTTCTTCTTCTTTTCATTCTTCTTCTTTTCATTCTTCTTCTTCTTTTCTTATTCTTCTTCTTCTTTTCATTCTTTTATTCATTCTTTTCATTTCTTCTTCTTTCTTTTCATCCTCTTCTTCTCTTCTTCTTTTCATTCTTCTTTTCATTCTCATCTTCTTCTCATTCTTCTTCTTCTTTTCATTCTTCTTTTCCTTTCTTCTTTTCATTCTTCTTTTCATTCTTCTTTTCATTCTTCTTTCATTCTTCTTCTCTTCTTCTTTTCATTCTTCTTCTTCTTTTTTCATTCTTCTTTTCATTTTTCTTCTTCTTTCTTTCATGAAAAGAAGAATGAAAAGAAGAATGAAAAGAAAAAGAATGAGAAGAATGAAAAGAAAAGAAGAATGAAAAGAAGAATGAAAAGGAGAAGAATGAAAAGAGAAGAATGAAAAGGAAGAAGAATGAAAAGGATGAAGAATGAAAAGGAGAAGAATGAGAAGGAGAAGAAGAATGAAAAGAAATGAAAAGAAGAATGAAAAGAAGAAGAAGAAGAAATGAAAAGATTTCTTTTACATTCTTTCCTTCTTCTTCTTTTCATTCTTTTCCTCTTTTCCATTCCCTC